AGCAACCTCTCGGTAAAATTGGTTCTGTTATATCCTTTGCAAACATTTTCAATTCAAGACCCATTATATTTATCGGTAGCTCTCAGATTAGCAAAGTTAATCGTTGATATTATATAGTGCGGTCTAAGCATAAAAAAAGAAAAAAATGAGTACGTATTCTACTGTAATGTACTCATCAACAAAATGAACAATCCCTTCATTTATGTCAGGAATAAAGCAGTATAATTAAAATTACGCGTGGCAGAATATCATTATGGTACATTGTATTTTGATGCACTGTCAATAAAGGTCCGTTTACAGTTTTGATGGATCGACCCAACTATGACTGCAATCAGGGAGCCAGTAGGATCGCAAATTGTGACCGAGCGCAAGCATGGCGATTAGTGGCTTTTGAATAACTCGAAAGCACCGCAATTTGCAACCGAGCACTAATAGCGACATCACCGTTAGTTTCGAGGTTTTTATTCGCGATGAGCAAATCTCGTCGTAATTGCCTTTGCGCATGCTTGATTCGTCATTTTATAGCGTCTTTAATGTAATTAAACATCGCGACGAGTTTTGGTTACTAGTCATGATAGCATATAACAAAGAATGGAAGCTTATAAAAGATCGAGTCACTCAGTACATCTGATAGAAAAAAACTTGCATTTTCTCAGTAAAGCTTAAAATTCCAAGTCTTCTTCAACAGGAATGTGCATAGATATTTTGTTCACGATTGCATAAAACCATAACATTCATGTACGTATTCATTTGGAACAATCAAGGCGTGGGGCACCAAAGGAAATGCGTAGCATAAGATTTCTTCAAAAGCATTTATATTTTTGTTTAAGTTCTGTTACTGACATGTTGTTGTTAAGCTTAAATTGATTGCTTAAAGAGACGGCGCGCACGTTCTTGGATTAAGAGGTCATTAATCTGACGGTGCAAAGGATGATAACATTTTGGCTGTGATGGCAATACAATATAACCTCCAGCTCTCCGCCGATGATTACTACATTTGTAGCACCCCTATGCTGGTGATACAATATTTTTCTTCAAGAATCATCGCAATGTTCAAATTGAGACGCTTTTAATAACACACTGGTGTATGTCACATATTGCACAATCTAAAAAGTTCCGCTTGAGTGGTCAGTCACTGATAGTTTGATTTTTAATGTTCTTAAATATCGGCTTACAATGTCGGAACTGATTAAAGATAAATATGTATCTTACATTATTAACTTATTACAGATTATCTCTCCCTCAGATCTTGTAAATTTAATGGTCCAAAAGGAGCAATTAAAAAATCACAAAAGTTCACTTTACAAGTGCATTATTTTAATGGTAAATGTACCAAAAAAGTGATTTAGTTTCACTGTTTTAGTTCTTCTGTTCCTTAAGATCCATTCCCACAGGCATCGCCGGTTTACGTAGATCAATCCAACTCTATGGGGATGGGGTCTTAGATACGATATGCAGGATACAATATTACATTCAAAGCTGATGGTATCCTGTACTCTAGCTGAAGCCATATTTGAAGCCAAATTTGGCACAAGTTGCTAAATTTTGGATCAAAATATGTTTTGCATGCATTACTTTGTTTCCTTTAACTGAAACACACGTTTATAAAAGCCCATTTACACGTGAATGTAACAGCTGTAGAAATAATAGTTATTCCTGGAGACAATGATTCTCAGAGGCTTAGTTCCTGAAGCTGGAACAATAGATGGATTCATCACTCCCAGAGAATTCTGGATTCCTTACTCCCAGAGAATTCACTCATGGTGCCATCAGACCTTTCACAGAAACGTTTGTCACTATTTGGGATGTCAACCCTAACGATAACCCTCTCAAGGACATTACTCAGAGTAATATCAAACAAAGAGGCACCATTTCTGGAGAAATTAACATGTCACATTACTCCTGAACATATAACCACTGGAGACATTCACACATGATGACAACACCACTGGAAATGGCATTGCTGGCAACACCACTCCTGGGGANTGCAACCGGGCCCAGGTGATGTCCATACTTCAGTTCTAGGGCAAATACTATCTATGGCTGCTCTGTGTTGAACATACATTCTGAAAGTAAGCCCATGCAGGGCCAAGAGTTCTGCCAGAAATATGCAAAATTCCACGATTTCTCATGATTTCTAAAATTAATCAATTCCGGGCGGTTCGTGGAATTCGTACAGTAGTCGGTGTGGAATAGGGGAACTTCCCCATGACAATTATTGCCATCAGAGGATTACAGCTAACTAGATACCTGCTGTGCTTACTGCGACTACCTGGTACTGTACTGGTGCTCACACCCTTGGATATATAAAGTAGTGTTTCATTAGCTGGATATTTTATTATAGAATAAAATCTTTTATTTGAAAGCCGTTGTGGTTGTAAGTGTATGTAAACTACGTGTATACGGCGGTGGTGCAACTGGCTGTGTATGGAAGCTGCAATATCCATTAGAAGGTGGTCGGTAGGGTTCTGTTGGTAATAACGTTATTAATTATTAAGTAACCACAGTGGGAGCAGTATTTTATTGTTAAAACAGTAGGTCGAGAACTCTACATGGGTATAGATTATTATTTTTTCTTGACGTATTATTTTCATTAGCACGGAATCAAAGTGGTTTCTAAGGGCTCATTCTTAGACCCCATTTCCAGAGATTAGATCGATCTACTTTAGATCGACCTAACTACCTGGGGGTTCACACTAAATAGCTGTCAGCCGAGCGGACACGAAAGTTAATTACCCCCTTACCGCTTGTAGTAGGCGGGACGGACATTTAAGAAGGATTATCTGACAGTAATCTAGTGAGACTCCCCGCGGGGATTGATCGATCTAAAAGCTCTGGAAATACAGCCTTACTGGAACTGCATGCATCAGACTTCTGAGATCGATTCAACTCCGCAGGGACTCTAGCTGAATGCTATCAAATCAGCAGATTAACACACCTCCTCCTGATGTTGAAGATGAATACAGGAAAGCTGGTGATTACATGAGTATGTTGAAAACAAGTGGAAGGGTGTTAATCTGTTCAACTGATTGCATTCCACAAGATTCCCGCTGAGCTGGATCAATTTACGCAGACCTATAGTTTCAATTGGCAAGAACCCTTATTTCTCAACTCTCTCACCCGAGTTAGTTCATTGCTCAAATCAAGTAATTTATTTATTTTTTTTTAGATTTTAGATAAGTCGGCTTGTTTCAATGTAGTGTCGACTTTGCAATATGCAGTTAGAATAAATGTGTATATTGTTGTATCCAGGATGCACTATGGCGAGTTGAGTCATGATGTTTTTATTAAATTTTAAACTTTCATTAAACTTTGACTTGTATGCAGGAATAAAACACCCGCGGATAGGCTCAGTTGTAAAATTTAAAACGACGATAGCACCCACATGGTCTAAATAATATACATAAACCCAGAAATCAAACTTTCACTGGGAATTTTGAGATACAACCTCTACGTGATGGCCCGTCAGCATCAGAAAATCACTGATTACATTGTTCATGTATACCAAGACAATTGGCTAATTTTTTTTTTCGCTAGTGCTCTTTTTTACTTCTCTTTCATTCTTTCTTTTTCAAAAAATAAATAAGTAAATAAATAAAAACATAAACAACCCCATAAGAAATGCAACACACCAAAAGATTAAATAAATGTCATAATTAACTATTTAAAACGGCAAAAAAAGACTTCTTTTGGGATTATTGCTTTCTTCTATGTGTGCAACCGTACACTGAACTTGGTTGAAATCTGTAGGCTCCTACGCTTATCTGTGTCTTCATATTGTTAACTTTTTCTGCATGAAAAAAAAAGACAAAATATAGTTGATAATTACAGTATGAAAATATTTTTCTTTTATGTATTCGTTTCATTTGAGGTTCCAAACTTCCAGTTCATGACCACCACTGATCCCTAGTGTCATTGCACATAGTATGATTTATGTATATAGCTTTAGACCATTATGGTCTATCAGTTCTCTTACAATAATACACCGGTTATGTTTGAAGAAGAACATGTACAACTATATGAAACTCCGTTTTCAAAAATACGCCTATTATTTAACATTGTAGCAATCACAATCGCTTCACGCCGTTGTGGTTTGACAAAAGACACATATTTATCCTAAATTCACCAGAAGAAATGAATTAATGATTACATTCGTCCTCAATTCGGTGTTAGACAGACTCAATAGATTCATTAACAAGATAAGTGTACCCAGATATCAATCAGGTCCGACACAAAGAGCCGGATGGCACATGCGTCATATCTGAACCACAGCAAAAGCAACCTCTCGGTAAAATTGGTTCTGTTATATCCCTTGCAAACATTTTCAATTCAATACCCATTGTATTTATCGGTAGCTCTCAGATTAGCAAAGTTAATCGTTGATATTATATAGTGCGGTCTGAGCATATAAAAAGGAAAAATGAGTGTGTATTTCTACTGTAATGTACTCATCAACAAAATGAACAATCCCTTCATTAATGTCAGGAATAAACAGTATAATTAAAATTACGCAAGGCAGAATATCATTATGGTACATAGTATTTTGACGCACTGTCAATTAAGGCCCGTTTACAGTTTTGATGGATCGACCCAACTACAATCAGGGAGCCAGTAGGATGGCAAATTGTGACCGAGCGCAAGCATGGCGATTAGTGGCTTTTGCATAACTCGAAAGCACCACAATTTGCAACCGAGCACTGATAGCGACATCACCGTTAGTTTCGAGGTTTTTATTCGCGATGAGCAAATCTCGTCATAATTGCCTTTGCCCATGCTTGATTCGTCATTTTATAGTGTCTTTAATGTAATTAAACATCGCGACGAGTTTTGGTTACTAGTCATGATAGCATATAACAAAGAATGGAAGCTTATAAAAGATTGAGTCACTCAGTACATCTGATAGAAAAACTTGCATTTTCTCAGTAAAGCTTAAAATTCTGAGTCTTCTTCAACAGGAATGTGCATAGATATTTTGTTCACGATTGCATAAAAACATAACATTCATGTACGTATTTATTTGGAACAATCAAGGCGTGGAGCACCAAAGGAAATGCGCAGCATAAGATTTCTTCAAAAGCATTTATATTTTTGTTTAAGTTCTGTTACTGACATGTTGTTAAGCTTAAATTGATTGCTTAAAGAGACGGCGCGCCGTTCTTGGATTAAGAGGTCATTAATCTGACGGTGCAAAGGATGATAACGTTTTGGCTGTGATGGCAATACAATATAACCTCCAGCTCTCCGCCGATGATTACTACATTTGTAGCACCCCTATGCTGGTGATACAATATTTTTCTTCAAGAATCATCGCAATGTTCAAATTGAGACGCTTTTAATAACACACTGTATGTCACATATTGCACAATCTAAAAAGTTTCGCTTGAGTGGTCAGTCAATGATAGTTTGATTTTTAATGTTCTTCAATATCGGCTTACAATGTCGGAACTGATTAAAGATAAATATGTATCTTACATTATTAACTTATTACAGATTATCTCTCCCTCAGATCTTGTAAATTTAATGGTCCAAGAGCAGCAATTAAAAAATCACAGAAGTTCACTTTACAAGTGCATTATTTTAATGGTAAATGTACCAAAAAAAGTGATTTAGTTTCACTGTTTTAGTTCTTCTGTTCCTTAAGATCCATTCCCACAGGCATCGCCGGTTTACGTAGATCAATCCAACTCTATGGGAATGGGGTCTTAGATACGACATGCAGGATACAATATTACATTCAAAGCTGATGGTATCCTGTACTCTACCTGAAGCCATATTTGAAGCCAAATTTGGCACAAGTTGCTAAATTTTGGATCAAAATTTGTTTTGCATGCATTACTTTGTTTCCTTTAACTGAAACACACGTTTATAAAAGCCCATTTACACGTGAATGTAACAGATGGAGAAATAATAGTTATTCCTGGAGACAATGATTCTCAGAGGCTTAGTTCCTGAAGCTGGAACAATAGATGGATTCTTCACTCCCAGAGAATTCTGGATTCCTTACTCCCAGAGAATTCACTCATGGTGCCATCAGACCTTTCACAGAAACGTTTGTCACTATTTGGGATGTCAACCCTCACGATAACCCTCTCAAGGCCATTACTCAGAGTAATATCAAACAAAGAGGCACCATTTCTGGAGAAAATAACATGTCACATTACTCCTGAACATATAACCACTGGAGACATTCACACATGATGACAACACCACTGGAAATGGCATTGCTGGTGACACCACTCCTGGAGACATCACCACTGGTGACTTCACTCATAGAGAAAAAAACTGGTGACTTCACTCATGGAGGCAACACCACTGTAGACAACACTGCTGGTGACACCACTCCTGTAGACATCACCACTGGTGACTTCACGTATACATGAGAAACAACGAGTTCGGTACACTTGCTGTTCTTCAGTGAAATTACTAGAGCAGGTAACTGAGGCTGTTGATCTACCTTGAGCAGGTTACTAAGTATGTTGGCTTGCAATATCAATACTCGAGCAGGTCACTAAGTATGTTGACCTGCAATGGTATTTTTGAGCAGGTCAGACTGTTAACCTGCAATGGTATTACCTGAACAGGTCACAGAGTATGTTGACCTGCAGGATTATGACTTCAGCAGGTCACTGAGACTGTTGACCTGCAGTGTCATTATTTAAGCAGGCCAATGGGAATGTTGACCTTCAGAGCCATTACTTAAGCAGGTCACTGGGAATGTTGGCCACCACGCAGCCAAATGTGCTCATCACGGAGGCCAGCTCCAAGCCCTCGTGCCACACCTCCCTGCCTTCCTGGTCCCTCCCCAGGAGATACAGCCCCGCCATCCAGCTGTTCTCATCCTCACCTCCTACCACCAGGATAGTGTTGTCATACTTCACCACACCTAGAATACAATAGGATAGAATAGAATAGAGTGCTCTGCAGTATAATATAATATAATATAATATAATATAATATAATATAATATAATATAATATAATATAATATAATATAATATATGACATGACATCATATAATTATATATGAAGATCAGTGTATTGTGAAGTTATGAGATATGGGATACAGATTAAGAGTTAAATCAATGTCATTTTTTTAAAAAATGCCATTTTGGTAAAGTAAAGCTACATTTCAAAGGATTTGGAGGAGGGTGGGCTTTGAAATAATGGCAGACTAGCATTCACAGCAGAACATGGCATAAAAGCTGACAAAATTTACCCACAAATATTTTCCTGGTTGTTTTCTCTCAAGTTCCATTGAATTGCAGTCTATATCACTACAGTCCAAATTCACCATATATTATATGCCACCTTTGTATTGCTTTCTTAGACGATATTCTCGACAATTAAGAGATACACCCTTATTTCCGAATAGTTCATCCCCACCTTATAACAGCTGTTTCCTAGTCTCACCTTATCACTCTGTGCCAACAGCCTCATTCTGGGATCATATCTCAGTTGCATTCCATTAAAAAAAAACCCCTACCTGCTCCACACAGTGAATTCGGCAGCTCTGGCCCCTCGCTCCATGTCTCCGTCACAGGATCAAACACTTCCACAGAACACACACAGTGCTCTGGCAAAAACTCCCGCTTCCATTTCTCACTCACAAGTGAATTCCCACCTAAAATAATTATTGATTTTGTGTATTACAGCTGAAGATGTTGTTAGGAGTAGCATTATCTTATATACAGAATTACATATATCAAGGATGAGACTGAAAAAATCAGAAAATATAACGTAGGTCTAGTGGGCTGCTTAGGCCAGAAGTCCACAGATAGAAAAATCTCATCCCTAAAGGATACATCCAGGATATCCACACAGGGGAGGGAGGGGTGGTCATTACATAATTCATTAGTTGTTCTTACAATTCACCACACACAAGTGAATTCCTGCCAGAAACAGCAGGCGAGCCCTGTATGGTTTAACATGTATTATCATAACTATAATACTATAAAATTAAAAGGCATTTTGTACTCAACACCTTGTACATGTTTAACATGGGAGTCATAACCATGGACACAATTATTCAATTGTTTTTCTGTTTTAATATTTTTTTTTTCTTTTTTGCCTCATAATGACCTCAAGATATCATAAATATTATCATAACTCCTGAGTGTACTCACCAATGATGTAGATCTTCTCTTTATAGACCACACAGCCAGCAAGAGCCCGGGATACATGCATACTGGGCAGCTGTATCCACTGCTCTGTCACTGGATCATACCTATGGTCATTTATTTATTTATTTACTTCTTTATATATCCATATTCCTTTACAAGACATCTCAACAAATAAATAATGACAAACTTACAAATGAAATGATTATTAATTGGTTTTTCTATTTACATTTTAATTTATGTTATCACTTTACTGATGTGCATTCATTTATTATTTTTCTTTAATTATGAACAACAGTGTTTCATGAATAATGTTGCATTTCGAAGAGAGAAAAAGAGGATGTAGGAAGAGAGAGAAACAGAAAAGGGGGACAAAGAGGAGAGAGAAAAAGAGAGGAAAAGAGAGAGAGAGAGAGAGAAAGCAGCAGAGTAAGAAAGAATGGAATCCTGTACCTAAAAGCTGCCTTAGATATCCCATTTGCTTCCTCCCCACCAAACACATACAGCTTTCCCTTATAACTGGTGGCTGCCATACACCTGGTGGGGACAGGCAATGGAGTGACCACCTCCCACTTGTTAGCATGCTGGTCATATCTCTCCACACTGGACAACAAGCTGCTATAGTCTTGGCCTCCTATAGCATACACAAACCTAGAAACAGAACACACAAAAAATGATGACAATGTATTCATAAAAGCCAGTAGGTGACTACTAGAATTAATCAGATTATGTTGAAATTTGGCTTGGCCAATAAAAAGAATCAAAACATCCAATCTGTTCCAAATTCAATAGCTTACTATAATTCTATATAATGGTACTTGATGATAAGGCACAATACAGCACAGGTTATATAAACATACCACACTGATATAAAAACTTAATTAAAAATCAAAACAATCAAAACATATCCACTACTACAAACACAATGTTAAAATCTCTTTTAAAGTATATCCTCAATACAAACCTGTCTAGCACCGTGAGGGCAAACTGATATCTCTTCATCTCCATGGCAACCTTGCTTACCCAGGTCTTGGTGGCGTAATCAAACATGAAGACACTGTCACAGACTCCCTCAGTGCAGACAGAACCTCGGTAGTTGATCTTCCTCAGAGCTCCACCAGCCAGGTAGATCTGGTTATCACCTGTCACTGCACAACCTGCAGGGAAGATAATAATAATAATAATAATAATAATAATAATAATAATAATAATAATAGTATTACTACAACTACTACTACTACTTCTACTTCTACTAATAATAATAATAATAATAATAATAATAATAATAATAATAACATGAAAAACAAATATGGGAATATCTAGAATCATTTTTTTTTTTATATCATTTGGAGAAACTAATTTTATTTACATTTTATATATTAGATGAACAAATTATTAATATTATTATCCTGACGTTTAACATTTCACGAATCAAAATGGAGATGAATTAATATTTTTCAAAGGCAACCATATTTTACAGGGAGAAGTTCTGAATGCACTAAAGGTGGCAGTGTTACTCACCTGGCATGAAGAGACTGTGTGGCAGTTTACCCAGTAATGTAGCATCACCACATTCTGTGGGCAGTAAAGCCTCTATGCTGTTGTACTTGGTCAGGGGGTCGTCACTGTAGGGGTTGGCCATTATTACAATGGCACGCTTGTATGGCATTCCTGGAAGTCATAAACATATACATCTATGCAACAATCAGTCATGAGCCTAGGTTTCAAAAATAACCTCTGAACCAAATTTTATTGCAGAATCTCAGGAATCGAGAGGCATTCAAGTAGTTTGGCCATATTTGATCTGTGGATCTGTATATCGGCTGTTCTGAAAGCGCTCTAACTGTGATAAAGTGGAGGAAAATCAATGCAAAGAAATTAGAGAATTGTGTTTTATGTGTCACATTTTAACCAGTGGGGGTTAACAATGTGGGGTAGTAACTGTGATGAAGTGGAGGACTAAAAATGCAGGCCAGTAGCAGCCCAAGAACATAAAAAGATGTAAACAACACAGCATTCAAGGACAATTTTGATATCTCACCACTTCTGGGCATGAAGTTGAGGTCCATCTCATGGTGTCTGTTCTTTAACATGTGGTAGTACCTGACATCACTGAGGGTTTTCATCAGAGACGGGCTGTCGGTAAATAGGCCATTGTTGTCTATACAGTCACAGAAGTAGTACGAACTGATATTGGCAAATCTCACACATTTCATCACTGCTTCCAGATCTCCCTTTCGGGTCTCCAAGTCATGGAGAACCCATGCAAGACAGGCCTCGTAGACCACTTCCTCCTGTGCTACGCTTATCTGGCTGCCGCTGACTATCTCCGTAAGTTTGTCTGCTGGGAGAGACATAAATTCTTGCTCCTTGCATAAAGTGGTGAACTGGTTGTTTATGATCTCCTTCCCTTTTTTGGCCAAGTCGTCGCACTCGTGTGCCTTGGCAAAGAAGTACATACCGATACAGTTTGACACATTAACATGGCGAATCATGAAGTCAGCGCAGCCTCCTCTCAGAGAGATCAGCTGAAACAAGTTGGCTGCAGACAGGAGATTCTGCACAGAGTCTTCCGAAAGAACAACCTCGCCTGTGTAGATATAGTCTAGCACCAGGGACACAGTTTGTGATGTCATGTCCTTCAGGTGCACCTTGCTCTCCCTGTTCTCTGACAAATCATTGGTGAACATGGCCATGAAGTACGGAGAGGACACAGCTAACACGTTTTTATGGCAGGGGAATTCTCTCTCCTCCACGACCAAGGTCATATCTGTGAACTGCTTGTTCTCGTAAAGCACGGAGAATCCACGCAGCAGTGACTGTGCCCGGTCCTGGTCCACATATGTGTTGTTGCTAGAGACAACCGCAGAGGAGGCATCACTGAGAGGGGATGTCACGTTGATATTGTCATCAGCCACGTCGCAGTCAGACATTTTTTATGGGAGATATGCCAAGACCTTGGCACAATGTCAAACCTGAAACATAAAACAGTGAAATATTGGAGTACTAAAAATAATGGATTTTTACATGTACAAGAAAGAAACAAACAACAAAACATCTCATGTTTTTGGACTACCAAAGCAAGGTTATAAAATTTGGTAAACCTAAATAATTATAGAACTATTTTTAAAGAAATGCCTCATAATGTCCCTTTTTGAATTCCTTTCAACATTATCATATGTCTTCTTCTCATTCATACACCCCCTCCTGTGCTCTGAATCACTACACTTTATGCCACGAGTATAAAACCGTAAAGTTTGCTAACAGTAATACATGTTGAAAAAATATGTTAACATAAACTTGGACTAAAGATGGTTACTTATATCAAATATCTATATTATCAAACATTCACTGAACTAGAAGGCACAAGAGCGAATGCGTATGAACTATAAATTTCAAGGCTGGAAACTGATTATATGGACTAGTTTACACAAAGAAAACTCACCGCTCAAGTGTCAGTAGAAAGACGGCGACAGTGCCAGCGAGTAACAATCCCAGTTAAGCACTACGTTGAGCAGGGTTTTGGCAAAGCCTTGCAACTCTTGTCAAGTCATGCACCTTCGAATGTTCAAACAATGAGTTTATGAACACAATATCGTGACAATTGCTAATCAGAGAAATAAAATTTCTACGAAACACTGCACTGCACTGCAGTTAACTTACCAAGGGAAAGCAAACACTTTCCGATCTCCAGACTGTAAAGAGCGCAGCTCATCTAGGTGTGACGTGACTCGACCGTGTCAGACAGCAAATGTTGTCCTCTGAAGCTTTTTGTCTTCAAAAACAATTTCATTTCAAAACGAAAAGATTTTGCTCTTATGATTAATAAAGGTATGGTCACTCAAGCAGTTTAGTTGCATGGACCAAAATAAAAAAAGACGAAGCCTTTTAAGAGGGTCTTGCTGTGCAAGAACGGTGGAGGAAAAATATAATATTCTTCTATTATTCAAAATTCGATTTTACTTTAATAATGTTACAGCAAATAGATTGATTACTGCCATACCCTTTGATGAAGTCTAAAAAAATTTGTCAACAAGTCATAAAAATGACTTTTAAGATATAATTTTCCACGACGACCCTCTGAATTCCTGACACCATTGGCTGATCGACCATTAGGTGGTGACGAGGGTCGTTCTATAAATAAACAGTTGATTCTCTTCTTTCATTTTCACGGTTCATCAAAACACAGCAAAGATTAGAACGCTTACTCTCAATTATAAAGTTTTAAACATACATTTTAATTAAAAGTCCAATTTTCAATTATTATGAAATTGTTATGACAAATAGGCCCTATAAAGAGGTACTCTATCGTGCTAGTATTAGTATTAGTTTTGCACAGCCAGGGAACATCTTTTCAGTTGGAAATGAAGTAGGCCTATTATATCGAAACGCTTTGTACTGGTGCCTATATCTGATGATCGGGTCATGGATATAACTAATTATGATTCGTTTAAGAAAAGAACGGTTGTAACGTTTGCGACATCCCAACGCAGACGAGCACACTTAAAAGAAAAGAAAAAAGAGATTAGAGGTTTATTTCTCCAATAAACACACAGAGAGAAAGTTAAGCAATAGGCATATACAATTAAAATAAAGTAAACACGACTGCTTAACTTTTTTATGTATTATTATTATTTTAATGTATAATGGCAAGTGAGCACTTTTCTCCATTCTTATCCATCTTAAAAAAGTCAACAAGCCACAAAGACACCTGGTACTTAGAAGCAAGTAAGCATAACTAAAGTTTTTTTTAAACGAATAATTTTTTCCTTGATTTTTTGTTAAAACAAGAACGCATACTCATTGCCAGAATGTGTGTCTACGGCAAGTCCCTAGGCTCCGTTCTCCACTTTCTATGTGCTCTGGATTATATGTGCCCACGTGGCGGGAAAACCGACTAATCACGGCCCTGCAAAACACTGGGTCAACTCAGGTGACTTCCCTTCCAGGGGGTGTCGATTTTTGGAAATTCCAGTGCTGCAGACGCTGACTTTTATCCCCAGGGTACTGGTATTTTATTGGCTGGTGGTGCATTGCGCAAATATGTTGCCCAATCAGACGGCAAGAAAACTGGGAAATTCCGCGTGCAGAGTGGGAAATTCCGGGCGTGGGTTTTGGTACATATGCTGTAAAGTGTTTGACCCGCTGCTGAGGAGCGGCCTAGATCAAAGTCACGGCGAACGCTTGTTGGTTAATTACCCACACACCTTCCATGCCTTCAACTGTGGCTGGTAAATGGTAAGTTATCATTCATTTTATCAAGTATTTTAGCAATTTGTGTAATAACAGAGATTAAGTACAATACAGGGGAGTGAATTAAGTTTATATAATTTTGCTAGTTTTGTGTGCTTATAGTCTTAGCTGACGCCAGTGCACGACGTGTGACAGTGTAACACAAAAAGAAGAAGGAAATAAAAGGAGGTTCGATTTCTCTCAACCGTGGCATGTTACCACGTTATTACCAAGCGTCATTTGCAAATTTGGCTATTTTATATATTTGATGGACATTGGGTCTTTAAGAAAACGTTTCCAATATGAAAGTTTATTCTCTCTAGTTCGATCTTTAGCTCCTATCCATTTGAGAGAAAACAGCCTACGTTTACTCGACCTCAACGAATTCAATCTCCTTTTGTATTGAATGTCGATGTGATTGTGTCAGTATTGTCTAACGTTTAAAATTATAATAATAATAATTAAAATAATAATAATAAAGTAACCCTTTTTTATAAGTCTGCACTAGTCTGTGTGAGGTCGAACCTTTAAATGCAACCTACAAAGACCTAATATGGGTGAGCAGCGCAATACATTTATTTAAAAAAAAGCAATCGAAAGTACCGGGTATACTGTATATCACCCCTGTCGTCTATGATGAATAGACGCCATTTCCCTTTCACCTCTTGAAAAGGTACTGCTTAAAATTATAAATTTCGCATACTTAAAGCACGCTCCCTACCTTCATTGTTATAATTCTTATTATTTTCTTGTTTTCTTAATTTCCTCGTTTCTCGTGGGTTCAAAGGGTATAATCAGGTTAAATGCCCATTAATGTGTTTCGCGCTAAGATAAGAGCCGGGTATTCCCAACGTTCAGATATGTAGGCGTGACTTTGGCTGGACGTGTCCTTGAGTTCTCTGTGTCACAATACACCGACCTCATACATCAGAACGGGCCTTTTGTTCGTGTGTGTTGCTGGTGACACGACCCACAAAGCTAAAAGTCCAGCACAAAAAAAAAAAAAACAAATTTTTCATTACATCTGCGTAAGTGTTTTTTTAAATGATTATGATTTCCCCAGTAAGAATTCAAACCATGCTTTTTATTTATTTTTTTTTTATTAATTTAATTTAAGTATTTATCGCCAGGTATATTCTAATTCTGTAATAATAAAATGTAAATTCTCTTTACTGGCCTGCGCTCTTGGTATAACAGATTAAACATACGGAAATAGAAGAGATTTCTTAAATCACCACTGGCACAGGGAACCGATATTCAACTACTTGATGTCTATGTGTAACTTAGTGATTTGAGTAAAGGTGGCGCTGAGGGTGGGTTTTTCCCAAGAGAAGGCGGTTGGTGTCGCCCTAGGGTTCAGAGGTAACTGGAAACACAGAGATATGCTAATAATAGATATACGTTTTCATTAGGCTTTTAAACCTCAAAAACCGAGGTTTTTTTAGCGTAAACATCGGGGACACTGGTTTTCTGTTATTTAGAATAAGAACCTCGGGATTAAGGGAAGGGTGATGCACTAGTATTTTCATGATTTCTACGATGGTAGTAGTTCCTAAAATGATTCTGCGCTCTCTAACGGCGTACCAAGCAGCATATCAATCAATGACTGATGTTATTCGAGACGTGACTGGGGGAAGTTCAAAATTTATCAGACTGTGGACCTGCAGCGGATGATGGGCTTTTTTTTTTCAGAGTCATGAGCCCAGTGTGATACTGGAAAAATAACTGGGGGCTAACTTTTCAATAAATAAAGTAAAAAAAATCTGTATGCCTTGAAAGTTTATTATGCGTAATTCGGATTTTAGATGGTAGTGGAGAAAAATGTTTTATTTACATGTACATGTGGCTGAGACGAACGGGGAGTGTTAAATCAAGAACTTGATAATAAATATTATTATTTGATATTAATAAGATGACATAAAATGTTATGAATTATAGAACATCAAAATGAATTCACAAGGCGTAGATATAAGGTGTTGGAGTAAGTCTCTCTCTCTCTCTCTCTCTCTCTCTCTCTCTCTCTCTCTCTCTCAGATATCAATTGAGGTTAACTTGCTCCTTTCACCTATATAATACCTACTTTCGTTGGTATGTTATCGTTTTTAGGTGCGTTTGAGGATTTGCAACGAAACAACAACGCAGACAACCCGCAAGGAGGCAGCACTTCGAGCAAATTTTTGTGCATTTTGATACCAAGATCGCCATCACATTGGTGAAATCTCAATACCCAGCGGGGCTTTGGAGACAGCTGCAGAGCAGAGTGATGACATGGCGGTTTACTTTAGTTCGTCTGTCAACTAAAATTTATTATTATTATTATTATTATTATTATTATTATTATTATTATTATTCGCCCATTTAGGTGTTGATTTATTTTGGTTATATTATTAATCTTATACTCGCTTATATTATAATCATTTTTTTTTCAATCTGCATATGTAGGCCTACATATATTTATTTATTTTTCATTTATTATCATCGTCATTTTATCTACAAGGAGAGTTTTAGTCATTTTCTTGAAAATGTTTGCCTGTAAGAATACGTAAAAACACATTTGGGCCAGTGATAAGTGTGTTAGAGAAGAAAGCCATTGTGTTTTTCGCTGAAAAATTAGTTGAAGGACTTTCAAATTGAACGGTACAGTTTAAGTGGTTGCTGGGGAAGGGGAGGGGGATTAGCCCAGCTGGAACGTGGATGAGTCACCTAAACAGTGTTTCCGATCTCAACACGCCCAGTTAATCCGATTAATTTTAATTGGCCCAGTGGGTTCGAGAAAGAGAGTGCAAACTCCCTGTAGCTTTTAGTTCTGATATAGCTTTTCTTTGCATCATTAATATCTTTTTTAAAATATCTTTTTTAAGGAACAAAACAGATAAATCGTCATCATTGTGGGAAATATGAGAAAATACAAGCCCTTCCATAGCACGAAGAAACAAGAAAATGCTGCTTGCAAGGATTGCATATGTGGTACAATGATTAAGGCGATTTTTCATTAAAGGCAGCAAGACAAGCACCGCGCACCATACGGCGTGTGGTAATACTGCTGGATCCCGCCTCTTGAAGATGAGCACTAGTAGAGGAAGGACCGACAGACGATTTCGGGCAGCTCACCAGTCTGTTTAGTGTAATGCCTTCTGAAATATTTCCCTTCAATTCTTGGTCTTTGGCGGCCGTTGCTATGGTATTACGAATTCATGTAATTCAGGTATGATATGATATGTTAAGCCCCCTTTACACTGGATGGCGTCCTTTCTGCGTCCAGCAGTACGGCCCCATTTGAGAGTTAAAAAATTATAATACTTTACGTGCCGACAACTGGCCGATCATTGAGCATTCATTCTGATACAAAATCAATGCTCGTGCCTCCTTATTAAGACCACAGCAATGCCAAATTTCATGGTCGCAGAAAGGACGCAGAAAGGACGCAGAAAGGACGCCGTCCAGTGTCAAGGGGGTATTACAGGCACGCTGACATAGGCGAGGGAACTAACGTGTAATTACGATATAGTCTAATAGGGGGCGCAGTGGGTCACCCTAGTTTTACGTGTGAGCCAATAGGTGACGCTATCAGCAAGAACCTTTTTGCACCTTAACACAGGGTGACCGCATACCTTTAATCCAATAATATTTATGTGTGTTAAGTATATAAAGGAGATTATTGTTGATATAAACACTATCTTTCACCGGATATGTTGTCAGCCAATGTAGCAATAGGTCAAACCAAAAGTCACTATGTCAATATATGTGTCAACAAGAAATGATGGGGTGGATGTTATTCAACACGTTTAACTCAGAAAATATGATCGATAAAGAATCATTCGGTCAAGATGCCCGAGGATAGTGTTATGTTATTTTCCTTTTTGACAGTGTGAACAAGTGCGTGACCTAAAACACGACGGCGGCCTTGGTGTGTCTTACCCTGTCGTCTGCTTCGTTTTGTTGTCATTTCATTAAAACACCAACGTTACCAACTTAATATGTTTGCTTTTTCGTCGAAATCCCGATGTTCCATTTATCTTTGTAAACTCGAGATAGACGATGGTGTAACCCTGGCATGCTTTTATTTTCTTTTCAGATATTTTAAGCTCTTCCAAGAAGGTCTATTTCTTCCCGTGCAGACACGATGCAGAGTCGATCGAGACACGGTTTTATTGTCCTTGAGTCCCCAAATAGAATTCTCTCCAGGGTAGCACATAACCGGCGCTGCACGCTACGGGGGGGCGAATAAGACAAGGTTTATTTCCACCTCAAACACACGAAAAATCTTCACCGAGAAACAACGAGCCACGCTAGTGCAGCTAGCCAACGGACGAAGAAGCTTGTTCGCAGATTCTGTAGCCAGGATCCAGCGTGATCGTCGCGCGATGGGAATTTCCCCTCCTCCCGAGTCAACTCCCCCGTTTTTCTCTGCTGTCCTACCTTGGACGGGGTCCATCCAGGTCCCATATTTGCATATCGTCTGCACAGTACTGGGTACAGTGTTTACGGAAGGGGAAAAACTCGTGGCATGATTTCTAATTTTAGGAAAATCTTGTAGGTGGTTTCTCTCCCAGTTTTTTTTTTTCAGCGTTGTGCGCCAGAGAGCAGTTGAACTGAGAGCTACTGCTGAACGTTTGGGACAGTTGAAGAGATATAAATAGTGCTTGTTGCATTTGCACATGTGAGCCATATATTGTACGTCACTGCTAATTTCTGGAATTTCAGATTCCTAAAAATAAAGTTTTCTTGGATAAGTCAGCTCACGTGTATCGTGACGTTAGGCCATATAAAATATCACACAATGATCCACTCGTGTTTCACCAAGCGAACCAAATGACACACTCTGTATTATCATTCATAATACACATCATTTCAGCAAAATCTGCGATATTTTCCATCTCCCTGTAGCCCAGGTAAATGTACACAGTAGTATTGATAGCGTTCTGCGAAGAGATGAGGGGGTCCCTTCCAAGAAAACGCTGTAAATCTTTTCGACCTCGCCCAAAGTAAATGTGACCCTGTGCACCTGGGTGTGGGAACGGTGAACACACCAAAAATATTAACCCTTTCCAGACACTGAGGTGGAACGGCGTTCGTAATATTGATGCACGTCTTCGTGGCCTATTGCTCAGTACATTGTACAATGTAGTCTCGAACTAGCTGAGTATTTTTATTCCTGATCCGATATAGAGCAATGTTTAATTTTAAAAGTCGAGCTTTCACAATTATGAGTTTGTTTTCAACCACATTTTAAATGCGGTTCATATTCGGTTTGAATATCGGTTTTCCTGTGTTACCATAACTTTTCATTTTTCTTAGGAATGCATTGGTTAATCTTTTTCAAATATTTATCCTATTAAATTTATCTCCCCACAGGGATGTAGACAGTTGCTTTTCTAATTCAAAAATTAGACATGGCTGTCACAGACTAGTATTTGCAGGTGAAAATCTAGACCTGCTTATTGGGCATTCCCGTCTTCACTTTACACGTGCGTTGACCGTGACCCACTGCTATTTTTCGCGTTGGGTAATCAATTTTAAGAGTCCTGCCTACAAACTTGAAAGAAATCATTCTGGCTTGAGGAAGAGAAATTTTAGCGATATTGTGAAAGTTCGGTAGCATACGTGTGTGGCTATTTCGTCCCTCTCTAGATGGTTATTTTATACAGTGTCAATAATCACTATTTTTTAAATATTAGGCCCCCTAATCTTGGTTACATTTTCTGAAAGGTGAAAGATTATTTTATTTTCCTCGAACGATTCTGGCTGAAATTCAAATGTGAAGAAGTGAGATAACGTCTCCTCTACCGCAATCATTTGTGGATTAAGTGGGGGACAAATTGCCTGGCAACGAAAGCAAGCACCAGATCGGTTACCTAGCAACAGAAATCAAAACAAGAGGTCGTTACCTAACAGAAATAGTAGGGTAACTTACCACCAACGGTAAAATTTACATGATTGATTACTCTGTGTATTATTTAATCATCAAAAATATTGGGTAAATACCAAAAAGTACATGACGTTAAACTTACGCAGTCTGATCCCCCCCCCCCCCCCCCCCACCTTCCAATCCAGAGCCACAGAAGGATGTTTTCACAAGAGTTTTTAATATTTTTCTCAGGCTAATCACCACCACGTACACATTTCCATCCAGCGAGGATTTTTGTACATCACCCACCTTGACTCTGGTAGGGAGGAAGGGTGCATTCAGAACAAGTTGATCCACGAACTAACTGATCCATATGCTGCATAATCCCTTAATAAACTCCCCGCCTCCCACACTGGCCGTCCCTGCATGGACACAGCAATTTAAAAAATCTTCGATCAGGGCGCAATGCGTTCTTGTGCTGATGTTTGCCTTGTTCCCTACGCCTGATGGAAGTGGAGTCGAGATATAATTGCTTTGTCACTGCAGAGGCGGAACATGTGGGAGGCTGTGAGTTCATTAAATAATTATGTAGCATTGCTTTCAAGTGGATCGGCCATATTTGATCCGCGGATAAATTTGTTCTGAATGCGACCTAAGATAATGGGATATAATGTCCTCGCAGAGGTCAATGATAGGGAGAAAGATAACTGAGTATAGCACCCTCGCACAAGACAATGTCTGATCTTGTCTGCAAATATATGGACCTGTAAACTCACACAAAAAAATTATAACAAGTCTATCTAATTTCTCTTCTTTAATGAACATCGATTATTTTATCATATGAACAGCAAATCATAGGATTTTTATATTGAAATTATAATGTACTTTAACTTTACATATAAATTATTGCAATTGCATAATTTTGAAAATGATTTAAAACAAATAATTTCATCGTTCGTGTTACGTACAAAGAAAAAATAGTGACTTTTCTTCAATCAACAGCTAATATTTAAATTGCTCTTTAACTGTCTGATTTAGATGATCCAGACGGACATAGAAATAATGGATGTTAACAATTTCAATATTAGCTGTAGATTTAAGAAAAGTTACTTCTTTATTCTTGATATAAAAACATATTAAAATTAAAGAAAAAAAGAACACCACACAAAATGATTAAATATACATTTGGATTACAGTTATGCACCATATTTCAAAGGCGACAATATTAGATAAAGGCGCATATTACAAAGGCGTTTATATAAGTTGTTATATTAGATAAATCTAAAACCCTAAAACCATCTATGTCCAGGTCAAACACAAATTCACTGCCCCGAGTGAAGTCAACACCCGACGACCTGGGCCCGTAACTCGAAAGCATCGCGCATTGCGAATAGCGATATCACATAGAGGCTACAATGTTAAAACGAGTTATGGAATCGAGACATTTGCGATCGGTCACAGTGCGCGATGCTTTCGAGTTACGGGGCCCTGGGGGCACTCGGCTTCATGACGCCGTGCTTGGTGATAAGAGCGAAACGGTGCTTTTCATTAAATTTTGTTCCATAATAAGCTATTCACATTAACAAAAGAGCTAACAGAAAGGACTTATGTAAAGATGTTACATTGTTTCTGTAGAAAGTCGTGTAATTTCAGTGTTACATGTATCCCACTTGTGTTATCCCACTTTTGTCAAGTCCATCCACGTTGAAGTTTCAAGGAAATGCCCACTGTTCGTACAAATGTTATGTCCTATTTGTTTTTATGCTGGCGCACATCACAGGCTGAAAATGAACAAGAAAAGAATGAATAAATAAACCTTCATATATCCAAGGACCTACTGGTAGGGAAGTAATTCTTTTTATCATGTTCCAAAATCCACTTCCTTTCATTACAAAAACACTTAATATCTTTTCTATCATATCAAAATATGTGAGTCAGTGTTTCTCACTGACTTAAATTCTTGGAAAGAATGAATTATTTGACATTTTAATGAATTCCAACCTTTTATGATAAATTACATAAATAATTCATGTGCTTAAAATGTACGCGTTACACATGCGTACATGAGAAGCTAACAGGGTATAATCTAAAATATTCTATTTTATACACACATTTCTCTGAACGCCGTCAATCAAATGTTTCTGATGTTGTTATAATTAATCCTATGTAATATGAAATACGATTTAAAACTAAACTGAATATCAAAGTTTAATTCAGTAAAAAGGGTATGATCTTGGTTTGTGAGTTTTTATGCTCTGCTTTCCCAAGGAGTTTGAAATAGAAACTATAGAATAAAAATGACAAATAAGCATTTGTTTACGAGGCTATTTTATGTTTGGAACATTAACAGAGACTTTCGTTTCAAATTCTGTGAATTCTCTCACATTTAGGAAAATAGAGCTCCTTCTTACTAAAACATTGCGCTATACTTTATAGGCTACAGACACTGAATTATGGTCCATTTGCCTTCTGAATATTGAGTGAATGATATGAGAATTTCCACGTAATGAATAATCTGTTAAACACTTGAAACGACTTGTCCACAAAAAAATAGGTGAGCGATATTTCCACTTAACCTTTATAATGAAAAAAGAATCTACCTACCTAACTTAAACAAAAAATGTAGAATTTGATAAAATGATACTTTGACAGTAAATGGTTTGGGTTTAAAAAAACATATAGGAATATGTGTTATGATATTTATTTGTGACTAAACATGAACATCAACTTTTTCAGATGTAAAAGACATTTAGATGTAATAATGACGATAGCATTTAAGTAGTATGTTCGAAATAATACCGTAAGACAAGTGATGTAATTACTCATCTTATTTACAATCATTAAAGATGTTTTTATTATAAAGATTATGGCTAATTAGGATATTTGATAAGTGATTTCAGTTATCATTAAATCTAGTAACTGCATAAACCGTAGTTAAATAAAAAGCAAAAATTATAACTAATCTGTTGTCCAGCACTGAGATCGCAGCTTTGATGTCAAAAATGTAAAGACCCGTAAAAATCTCAACGATTTCACATGTTGGATAGTTAATAAATTTAAATACAATGTACGCATTTAAAAAAATCTCGAAGTCATTTTGTAATGTCTAAAAAACCTGCAAAGTTACTTATCTTTCCCAATACAGACATTTAGAACTAATCATTTAATTAGAAATTGTTTAAAATAACTTGGATTTTAAGTTCAGGGACGGGTTGATTAATTTTGGCATAATAAGATTTTGGCAGGAAAATCCTGAATGATGAAATTGGAATTATTATACATTCTAAACTGGAATTTCAGGATTCAGATTAATTGTTACGTGCATCAATATTATTTACAATGTTATTTATGTTTTTACCTATATTTATTTTTCAAACTGAGTGACCATAATATTGTCTTGCAGAGTCAAAATTGAATTACACATCGTACTGGTATGGTTAACAACGCCTTTTTTATTTTAAAGAATATTGTTTTCAGAGAAAAAATATTTATAATCATCATATAGATGAAGAAATGCCTTTAAATCTTATTTTCGCAAAAAAATATTCTGTACATTTCACGTAATGCCTAAAATACAAAACGATTCTCAGATAAAAGTGATTAGGCCTAAATTTGTAAAGATAAATCGTTAGCTAATATGAAAGAGGGGTTAAGACAAAAGAAAAAGTACAGTATGACAAAAAATTTGAAATGCAAGTGGCAAAATATGTTTGGTAAGATCAAAAACAAAAGCCGTGGTGCAGTATCAAAAGAGTCTAGAGTCTAGGTGGTAAATTTTGTCAAAAAGATAGACCTTTAATTCATTTTCAGTATTTTTACCAAAGCGAAGGCTCCATCCTGATCAGGGTTCAACAAAAGAACATTTTTCCCAAAGAACATTTTTCCAACTAGTAATTTCTGACGGCTTTTGTCAAAATAAATTCGTATAAAAATATACAGAAATTGTAAACTACATGTATCTCTTTAGACTTCCCAAAAATACAGTGTGAAGATTATGCATAAATAGATTAAAAATTTAAACGATTAATTAAACTAACAATAAATAAAAAATCAACAATCGAAGAATATAAAGCGCAAATGTTAAAAATAAGATAAGAAGCGAGAGTAAATTTCCTGTAACGTTTAAAAACTATTAGCACCGTATTTTTACACAACACAAAATCCACTTGCCAAAATACCAACTGAAATTAATTTCGCGGGTAGCCCGAAAAAAAGCTTTAAAACACGTAATCGTGAATTAGACCTAAGTATTTTCCCTCTGGTCTTTAAAGCACAAAAATAGGCTGAAAATATCTTTGCAAATATTATTTTAGGGAAATAATGTTACGAAACTTTGTATTATTTCTTAATGTTATCCTTTTTGAAACTGTATATGGTGACATTTGGTTGGGTTAAGCAGCAATAATTTGACATGAGTGCTCGTTTAATGTGCAGTTTGAATGAGTGAATAAATAAAAGAATTAAAATAAAAGTTAATCAATTTAGCGTAGTAAACCCGGAAAGTGTAAAGTGAATTTTCAGTGGTGATTCGATATGGTGGGATTACAAAAATAGTTTTGTTTACATGTTTTCAATTCAGTTCTAAAAACACAAAAAAGAAAACAATCTACATTTTAATGTCAATACATTTTATGAAAAATTTATATAAAATCCTCTGTTTTTTCTTTTACAGTATATTATTATTCAGGTCACCCATATCTTGCGGTTAGCGTAACACAAAGTGATGTGGAAGACTGCGTGTGCTTGCGCAAGTGAGCCGGGGGTTAATGCATTGTATAGGGATATCAAGGTTCAGTTCATATTTAATAGAGACTGAAAGCGAGAAAGAAAGGGGGTGAGAATGCGATGCATGCTGCTTCATGTTCTATTTTGACATCAAAACGCTTAAATTATTAATTTTTGACAACAAAACGCATATTATTAATGATGACTGTGCACACAGAGAAAGGTCACATGGACCAAACTAGACTATATATTTATGCCTGTAGGAGCAATTGTGAACTGTCTGGTAAATATTGTTATCAATATCTGTATGTTGTACCGATACATATCCCTGCACCTCGACCTAGTTGTTTGTCTTCGGGTTGCATAAATGTCGCCCCTAATATTAAAACAATAGGCCTATATAAAGCTCGAGGGAGGTCAAAGGTCACTAAAGGTCAAACGTCAGCAGAGGTCAGATGCGTTAGCATACTAGGGGCAGGGCCTCACTTAAATCCCCGCTGGTCTTCAAATCGATATATTCAAATGACATAGCTATAATCAAAATGTGTATGCATGGTACTAAACACAGACATGTAAATAACAAAGTTTGTTTAAAGATTATATGTCAACGCCAACATGTTTTTGTATTAGAGAGGTGAGTGAGTGAAACTGGCATGCAACGATTTTTATTGCAAAACAAAGAACTACGTGCGAAAGGAAATGCACTTAATTCTAGTTCAGTTCCTCGATAATGTGAAGCGAAAGAGAGGTATGCCTACACGCCAAGCTTTCTGTAATGATTTCACGGTTATTTCTTTCATTGTGATTTTGCTTCGTCAAGGCACGCAGCACCCGAATATTGATATTGGTCTAATAATAGCATGGCTTAATCTTGGACCTAAACCTGATACCCTGCTATCCCCAAAGTGCCAACAATTCATTTCAAATTAAAATAGCCCGCCATGGGGCTCCTGCGCATGTGCGCATTCTCAGAATTAGGGAACATATAAACAGCTGAGCTGCGACGCTGCAGACATGCGATATGGCCTACTTACAGTATTAGCTGTGGCCACAAGCACACAAAACACCCAGGGATTTCCCCATCACTGATTCAGCCGGGGAATTTACCAAGTCGTCATGAGTGTTGTGGGAGAAATAGGCAACGATGTCAGCGCGGGAAAGCACCTTGAGGCAGCGCAGCGCACGCGGGGAGAGCTCTGCCCGGCGTGCGGCCGCTGTGCCAAGGGCCGCAGGGACTGGGTGCCTGCGATCGTCGTCGCAGTTTTACTCCTCGTCGCTCTAGCCCCGTGCGGCGTTGTGTTTACGCTTAAGATGCACGCACTGCAAGACGGAATAGATAGATGCGAGCGGAACGCTGCATACTTTGTAAACTCCCGACACGAAGGAGTTTTGTCTCCTAAAGAGCCTTCACCGGACCGTGACCGAAAACCGCCCTCCCCAGTTGTCAACCATGAAGAGAAAATTATACAAGATGTGGTGGCACAAAATGAAACTGAAGTTGAGGAATACGAGGTAAGGCTGCGTGACGCTTAGTCGTCTTTGTTAAATATTGATTTTTAAAAGAAGTTAAGGTTTTTTAATACTGCGCAGTACCCGCGTGCGTTTTCCAAACAGTTATTTATCAGTCTGATAAGAAAGACCATGCAAGTACTACATGTGCCCTCAGTAGATCACCGTGCAGCTTGTAGCTTTTAAATCAATGATCTTTACCCAGGGTCATCGGCTGAATGTAGCGTGCGTGCCGCTTAAACATTTGTCAGTGTTGATTTTGCTTTTATTTCTTCAGCCCGAGTAAGTCACCTGCTGCCACATCTGTCACCCTTCCCCCTCCTCTAAAATATGTCTATATGTTTGTTTTGTTTTGCAAGTTTTGTCCTTAATTATCTTACGGGCATCATCATTATGACAAGTACTATTTTTATTACCATTATTTTCATTATTTATACATTTGTTTAATCTATTATTTATTATGTCAGGTTTGTAAAATCATGTAATGCCGCAACTTTCATAAACTTCGGTCCACATTTCCTGCTCAAAGTAAAAGCCAGCATTTAAAACAAAATGTATCAGTGAACATAGTATGTTACACTGACCATAGCGCATAATGCACACGGACACACGTAGACTACATTCTTTGGGTGTATGGTATTCTCACTAAGGATATTACGCACTTAAATACCTATACCGGGCCACTTTGGCTGCATAACAATATGCGCAGCGCATCAATCAAGCAGCTCGTGTCATTCAATCTCTTCACTGTTAGCTATAACGCATTGTCATAGTTATTTAACAACATACTGTAACCGCTGACTGTCTGCCGCGTGTTACGTCACTCGTCTGGAGAGATTTGTATTTACGATTGGACCCCCAGACTTTGATCTATGTGGGGTCGTGGCTTGACAGGGAAAAGATGGAATGTATGGTGTATATGTTCTATAGGCGCAGGAATGAGAGATTGTGCATGTACATGTGTGTGTGTGTGCGCGCGTGCGTGTGCGTATGAGACGGAGATAGAGTGTATGTACATGTATAGGAGCAAGTGTGTGTGTGTGTGTGTGAACATGTATGAGAGCGAGATAAGAGTTTGCGGTGCTTTTGAGAGAGAGAGAGAGAGAGAGAGAGAGAGAGAGAGAGAGAGAAAGAGTCTCAAGAGGAAGAAGTAAGAACTAAAGGTAAAAGGTGAAATAAGTCGGGAGCTCGAAATCAATTTTACACATGAACATTTTTTCGGATTTTGTAAACGAAAGCAAAAAGACAAAATGTAAATATGTGTAAATTTTAAAAAATAAACAGATCGGAATATAATGATAGGATCCCACAATTCGCTATGGTGCTATTTTAACATTGTGCAATTATATATACAAATATAAATGTACACATACGTTTGCGTTTACTTGAGACGATTTTTTACAATATATTCGACAAAGTTTTTATTTTACTTAGAAAAATAGGCCTGGAATAGAATAGAAAATTTAAAAAATAAGCCACTGGTGTGTAACTTTCCTGGAAGACGTATTTTAAATGTGAAACTAAACATTTCCCACTGAAGAGGCTTCCCCCGCTTTGGATTATCCAACCACAGTGAAAAGAGAAAGAACAGTACGCCTTAACGGCCATTCTCGGAATAATTTATAAACACAGTTTACAAACTAAGAATTCCAGTGTTAGGAAAATAGTGAACAGCTGTACTAATTTTAGAAATATTTTGGAAGAAGTTTTAGTGGGGTTTAGAAAAAAGGAACGTATAGTAGCGATAATTGTAAATGGACTAGCCAACCGGGGAGTAGTCAGACGATTTATTCAGCAATCAGTTTTTTTTATAAATTTTAACATCCAGTTTGACGCACCGAAGTTTGTCTCTCACATATGACTTTCCGATCAGATTTACCGGGGGAAACTAGTAGTCTCCTAAATATTTTCAGAAAATTGTTTCTTAAAAGAAAGAAAGGGAGTGAGGGATAGAGATGAAATTTGTCGACTGTGAATGTGAAAAGAGTAAACAATTTGATTGCTACACAAAACAGCAATTTGTCAGAATTGGAGTTACGGCATTAGAATAACTGAAAATTAAACCACCTGGATCGAAATCCTTTCGAATATACTTTTATGACTAGAAAATCCACCAATTTTTCCCAAACCAGGAAGAGGAACGTTTGGTCCATGGTAGTACTAGTATATAGGTATTTGAACTACCGGAATTAAATGCGAAAATATTTCACTCCCTGGGTATTGCAAATTAATGGTTTTATGGATAAATAATTTTTCCTTTTCATTTAAATGGTAATGCAATTCCTAAATTAAGATTTTTTAAATGTGATTTTTATCTTTGATAATAATCGCTTAATTTCATCCTATAAACTTTATTTCATTTTGTACTCCATTTTTATTAAAAAATAAAAGGTTCGTTGTTATTATTATTATTATTACACCTAAACTCTCTAGCAATATTAACATGAGGCTAGAAAGTTCCTGGCTGTTGATTTTGATTAAGTGATATCCCACTATCTGAAGATTTACGTTGAAAACTATTCCTTCGAATGCTTCAGTGAAACGAATGGATTTCTGTTCTTATACTTTGTGAGAAAAATTAAATTTGCTTACACCCAGCAAGCAATATACATGTAGATCGAAGTTTTAAAAAGAAACAACACAAACCGAATAATCAATGCAAGCACAACAAATGTGTTATCTTTTGAGACATTGTTTTCCCCATCGTGACTGCGTTAATATTTCTGATTTACACTAGTATCATAATTTTCAAATTTTCTTTTTCAGGACTTGGAAAGCGCAGACAATACGCCGGAGAATATTTTCACCATTTTGGCGTCCTTGAGGTCCCGCGAGAGCGCGAGACTAAAACGTAGCGCAGAGAGGCGGAGGGACAGACGCCAGGGGACTGGCCCAGAATCTACGACAACTCCAACCAGACACAAGAATAAGTGCCCACGTAGGTGTAGACGTTGTAAGTGAAAGCTTCAACGTGTGTTTACTTCAAGCTTTTTTCAGTTCTGTCGCATACTAGTAGAACATGCCCTTTAACTTAACGCCTGTTAGAGACTTACTACATTATATGTACCTGGGCTTTTCCATAAAAAATTATAAAACTTTCTTCTTATTGGTCCTGTTATACCTATTTTCAGCTTATTTCTTAGTTAAAGAAACATATGTAGATTTAGACATAGTGCATTTATTGGTAAATTTAATGACGTTCACAGAGAACTTTGGCGTATATATATATATATTGACATTCTGGCAATTATTATTTTTCTTTTTTTACCTTTTGTTTTGTTATACCTTGCGAGGCTGTTGTAACGGTATCTTTTTTTCCAATTTTTCTCTATTTTTGCATAAGTTGTAGTCTTTTATTTATAATTATGCCTTTTCTCCACCGGCGTAGTCTTTTAAGTTTAATGTCCTTCTGTTTTACAAACTGTATTTAATAACCTAATACAACCCTCCGACAGGGTGTTTGAACTTTTATTGCAAAATTGAATAGAATTTGGGAACAAACTAGAGAGAGATTAAAGAAATCCGAGAGTCTTAATGTTGGTGTGCTGAATTATCACTTCAGTTTTTAAATTAAAGTTTTCCTCACTCAAATTGAACATACAGCCATCTGTGATCAAAATGTCATGTGCACAAATGAAGAAAATAACACCCAAGGGTCCACGAAACTACATTTTTATATTAATGTAAATAAGCTCTTTTTGTTAACCCAAATTTAAAGTGACGAGATTTTCGACAAAAAAGAAATAAAAAAAATCCATAAGCGGTTATTGGTCCTCATACTACTGTTTAGCGAAGTAGGGCTACTAATAAATTACAAAATATTTTATACATTTGGATAGTAGGTTTTGATTAAGCCGGACTAGTAACACCCCTTTATAAATGATGAAAAGTACATTATCCTATCACTGAGTATCTTATTCTTTGTTTACACTTCTCCCCTTTTCGATCTCGTTGTTGAATAATGTCTAATTTGTGCCAGTTTTTGATATAATTGACCACGATTTCGAGCTGTAAATATGTTGAAAGAAGATGAGTTTGAGCTGATCGTCAATCAAGCTCTACTTCTTACAAGATCAAAAATAATCTCAAAGGGGACGTTTCACATTTTTATCACAGAGAAACAAAAACAAAAAAGATGAAGAGCAGATGTAAATTAACTTTGTACTCACCCCGATTCACTTATCGTTCTACTCAACTCAGTTAACTTTTAACACTGACCGAATAACGTAACAGTTTCTTTTTCTGCGAAAACTGACTTCCTTAATGTCTTCGACGCTTGTTTCTTCTGGTGGTGCACGTAATATCAAGAAGTATACAGACGCGTGGCTTGTTGCCTTTATCAATAAACGCATTGTGATTATCAAAGTTAGGTAAACATTCCAAGAAAATGTTCCGAATATGGAGATGACAGAGTCACGTGATCTTCCAAGAAGATATTAAAATAGTAACAGTTCGGTGGTGACTGAATGGCCTCTTTGTCAGTAGGCCTACTACATTTTTTCCTCCTTGTCCTACCCTTCCCATTCGCTTCGATTCTTTTAATGATGTATGAAATCACGTAATACTCCTGTCTAACACGGTACGTTTTGTTTATTTTTTACACTGGGAAGGGGCGTTACGGGAACTTAGGCCGCCATTTTATTTAGAAAATAGGCAGCCCCCCCCCTTCCACTTATTTCCTCCTCCCCCTAAACTGTATTGGTAAAAAGAATAGCTTCTTCCAAGAAGACTTGCCGACATATTTACCAGACAGACAGCCAGTTGAAATAACGTGAAAAGGAACATAGGAGGAAAGCGGCCTTCCTGGAAGGGCTAAATTCGGCAGAAGTCCGGCTTGGAAAATATTGATTTTTCTTCCTTGATAAGCCGTTTCCCCTTTACTAATTTTTTACCATCCGTGACGGGCAGTGCAAATTATTGTGTATAATTATTTTCAAATGTTTCCTATTAAAAGTACGAGATTGCATGAGAATAAAAAAGTCAATACACGTTAATTTTCTGAAAAATACTAATTGCACATGCCGATATTGTAGATGTAAATAAGGGGCATTAAGGTTGTTTTAATGATTTTTAATGCTTTAATTGTTGCATTCTTATTGTAATAACAGGCATGATAAGATATTAGCCAAGCTGGGAACGGATTTTTATTTCACGCCCTTTTTTCTTTGTTCAGGTTGCATAAAGGGTGACCAAGGAGAAAAAGGTGAGGGTCGTTGACCTTAGAATCCCTTATTGCATCAAAAAAAGAAAAAAAAAACAATTCAATGCAGCAATCCTTACTGTTATCCCATATATCTGAAGTCAAATGTTTGAAGTTCACCTTGTTCACGTATTTTGCGCAGTAGTTAAAACTTGAACTTCATTTCTTTATTATTTATTTATTTATTATTTATTTATTTATTTATTTATTGTGTAATGTAGCTGTATGTACCAGTATCGCCCTTAAAACTGTTTTACAATCTGCCTGTGTAGCCATCAAAATAACATAGATCAACTCCTGTGTCAGCCCAAAATGGGCATAAGGGGGAAATCTATTTTAAATGTGTTCATTTAGTCTGCTGTTTCCTAATTACAGGTGACAAAGGGGACCCCGGTCCACCAGGCCAGGTAGGAATGATTTTTTATCAAGTTTAATAAGTGTTATTCTAGTTGATATGATTTAAGTAATACTATAATCAGTAGTTATGTGAAACCCGTATGAAGACACACAATAATGTTAGTGGTCGATGCGATATACTGTGAACGGCGTGCGTGTGTGTGTGTGTGTGAGAGAGAGAGAGAGAGAGAGACAGATTGAGTGCGTGCGTGTGTGTGTGTGTGTGTGTGAGAGAGAGAGAGAGAGAGAGAGAGAAAGAGAGAATGATAAAATATAAACTCGTTAAAATGGCTTAGACGTGGACTGCAATTGAGAAGTTAACAATAGTATTTGTACACCGTAACAGGAGGTCGTTACAAACTATTTGTAGATAAATGCGAGCGCTGCTCTGTTCTCTGGTCCAAGGACAGAGAGGGAGGGAGACGGTTTTTACGATGTTCATGAAGGTAGTTTTTATTTCTCAGTTCGCTGGGCGCCATTGATCTTTCTCCACGCTAACTGGTACATGTAGATATCACTAAAATCGGGCTGTATCTGACCTCAAATCATAACACTTCTTTAGAGCTGCAATGGAAGAGCAATTTATATAGGGTAGTGACTAGTAAAATTGAACTACTGTCGAATGTGTCATATTTTTTAATGTAGCTCTTACTTTGGTGTAAAAGAAGGTATAATTTTCGCTGCTTGTCGATAGCTTAATCCAATAATGTTGAATAAGTAGCTGACGTATTTAATTGTTTAATTTTATTGGAAGGACTGGCTTAGGTAATGGCGTGGGGTGGCTAATTTCACTATCATATATATTTAGGTTGCTATTGGTAGCTTTCCGCCAGGCAAAAATATTCTCGAGTTTTGTTAATGAGCTTCTCTTGTTGTAGATGGCGCTGGCGGCGGCACTTTACCAGGGGAATGTAGGTCGGTATGACGTACCTGAAGGTACATTTCATTTGTGTCACGTGATCAGGCAAAATTAATCAGTTAAAACCAGCGAAAACGAAAGTGAAACCGCTTGAGGGTTTTTGTTCGAGGAACTTCATGGAATTGAGTAATAACCATGAGATTGGCGAATGCCAACGGCTGCTACTTCACGCCTAACGAGAAAAATATATTTTCTTATACATAAATAAAAATTTGAAATCGAAACGGCACTGGTTGCCAAAACGTTCACTTTGTTCCAAATTCATTGTATGCACATTTATAATTCATAGTATGCACATTTATAATATCTTCATCCTGTGAAATGACAAAACAACGGAGTTAATTTTGCCTGGCTCCAAATAGTTTTGTTAACAATATCACAATGCATTCACATTTTCATATAAAGCTGCATTTAGAAGTTTCTTACATTTCGACCGTTCAGTTTTTCGAGGTCTATTTTGTTCCAGTAGATACAAACCGTTTAGTAACGAACCATTGTCTCCATTTCGTCTTTATAGAGGATTATGATCCAAATAATATACCGGGTGAGAGGATCGGTTGCGACCATGCTAATATCAGGGAGAGGACTTTCCGAAGCTGCGGTAGGTCTATAGGCCCATATGTTCAGTGCTCTGACGCCGCGTTTTTTTTTTTTTTTTTTTTTGTTTTGTTTTTTTTTTAATGGATGAAAGTTTAGAAAAGAGAGAATCTGTTGCGAATTCTTCCTTTATTTTGCAGCATGGTTGGCACACGTTGGCACACGTTGACTCAATTGCATTTTCTTTAGATGAAAATGTTTTGCGGTCCTTGTCAATACGTTTTTCAAGCTGGGTGTGTGTTTCAGAATTGTTTGGCTGGAACCTTGCTGTCCATTGGACATAACGTTTACAAAGCTTAAAATGCCACAAAACAATTCTGTATAGTTCAAACAAGAAACTTCTAAATGCAGGAATGCGGATACACAGCCTGCCTTACATCCGCTTTTAATTCATTAATTGCTTAGGATTTGTTGCGTCGCTTTGCAATGCACTTGCATGACCAACGCTTCTCTTTGAGGACGTTACGGCCTCTGGTTTGTGAGAACAATCTTAATTATTTATTGACTCGAAAATAACCGCGGTGTGCAGATACGCAGGTTGAACTCCTTTTCGCCTTAATATTAGAAAGGAAATGGATGCAAATGTTAATGCAAAACCATCCAAGACAACTCTTCCCTTGCAATGCCGCAGATCTCTACATTCTCAAGCGTAAAATGTTTTCTATGTTGAAGTGTCAAACACTGGAAATTGTGTATTATGAATGATTTTGTTACCATCTTAATAATAAGATATTTATTAAACAGTAGATTAAGTAAAACAAGTAATCCGCCATTTCCCCTTTCTTCGCTCGGTCACTATACTCCTCAACCTGCCTACGACACTAGTGGTTACTTGACCGATACTAATGCTTGTTGGCTCTTCATAATTTTGGTTATTTTAAATCTATTGTGTTATATACAGCAATTGTTACGATTTGTTATTTCACAGTTTATTGCACGCCCTCAGGAAGTTTTGCTTTTACTTTAAAATCAACTTGTACGCTGCACCTATGGTATTAATTTTTGGGGTTGTGATTTTATTTTTTCTTGACTCATTATTTTCTCACGAGTCTTCAGTAAATACTGAACTGGGGGGGGAACTCTGTGTGTTATCCTTTCACCAGTCTTTTTATCAGCTATTACGGGCCCTTTTTTTGCGGTCGTCTTTTTAAAGACTGAAATTCGGGAAATTGAAACTAGAATCTAATGGTGTTTTAGCAACTGTTCATGTTTTTAAAAATCAAAATGCCAAAACACGCCAAATGAAGGCTGATAAAAAGCATTTATTTACACGTGATTGTGTGTGATAAAAACCAGACCAGGAAATGAAACCTTAACCTGGTACGTGTACAGTGTAGCAAGTAAGCTGCTTCCAAATCCTCAGTGCGTTTACGATTTTTGTTTCCAAATATTGTAGTCTAAAACAGACCGCCGTAAAACAGACGAAAAGGGGCTGGACTTGCTATGTAAAACTACAATGCTGGTACAATATAATTATAAGATTTTTTTCTTTTTTTTTTTCATATCTATGGTGGTATATGAGAAATGTATTTTTTTATTTCTTTACATGTGGTCCCTTAAATATCACAGATGGCAAACTACAGCATTGGGAGAAGGCACCGTGGATGACACACCCAGATCACGCGAGATATTACGATAACAAGTTTCGTCTGAACTGGGACGGCCAGGTGCAAGTGACGGAAGCCGGGTTGTACTATTTATTCGGACAGGTAACAGTACGTATTCTGTTGTTTTGCTTTGTATTGGCTATGCGGCTGCTTTTAAGCTTGAAATATTTAGAGGCCTTTTGTTTTTAGATTTTTTCTTTTATTACCATAGTTGCATATTTATATTCTTTTGTCACACTTGTAAGCATCCTGCGGTAATAGGGTGAAGAACAGGAAGGGGCGTTACTGTGCGATTAAGTCTAATGGTCATAGATCTTAAAACGTAGACATGGGAACAGTCAGTTGAAATAACGTGAAGAGTTACTTAGGAGGAAAGCGTTTTTCCTGGAAGGGCTGAATTAGGCAGAATTCTGGAGATTCCACAGCGGAAATTCCACAGCGGATCATCCTTTATTTCATTTAAACTGGTTGATTTTCCTTTGTTGATGGCGACACATGAAATACTTACGTCACATGATTAAGAGAATTTTGAATGCACACTTAACGCGTTCTATCTATTTTTTATCATTTGGGCTCTTTAACCCTTTTAGATATTGTTTGTCTGCAAAATGCTTTTGGTAATATTCTATTTCTTTTCTTAATTCATCCAAAACTTGACACACCCTGCTTGTGAGCCGTGAGTGATTTTACATGCAACATTACAAATAAAATAGTTGGGAAATGTACTTCATACTCAATATTTAACGCGGAGTCTTCATTATCTGTATATATTTGCAATGTAAAATGTACAATGTAAAACGATTTATTTATTTTATTATTATAATATCTATTTTTCATTTTTTAATTATTTTTATTGTTATTTTATTTGTTTGTTTGTGTTTTTTTTTTTTTTTTCATTTTTTTCTCATGAACTTGATGTCACCAAAAACTTTTTTACTGACATAAAATTTAGTGTCATATTTTTTTCTCTCCAACAGATAATGTTCTACAACGCGGCTCCATTCAACACGGCGGGTATAGACGTGAAGGGTCGCAGCATAGTAAGATGTACCCACAGCGTGACCAACGTCAACCAAGGTGGCACCGCCCCCACCTACCAAACGTGCTCCATGGGGACGATATGGTACCTCGAAAGGAACGACAACGTGCGAATGGTTGTTAAACAAGGCAACCGAGTGATAGACATGCAACAGGATACGACATTCTTCGGTCTGGTGAAGTTGGCTGACGCACCGGAAGTGGTGACGTCAGCAACAAGGCCCCCGACGACACGTAGGTGAGGGCAGATAGTCATTCCATCAGGGACAGGAGACACTTGAAGAGATTGTGCCTCAGTTAAAGTGTGGTTCGTAGAAATGGATAAGGGAAAGGTGTCACTTTCAACGTTTGATTATATTTCAGAGTTGTCAGTTCAACAATTAGTAGTTTATTTGACGAAGAGTATCGTTCTCCTGAAAAGACGAGGCGACTTAACAATGTTTATGTACATGTATATAAATGTAAATAAACACTGTATATAAAGAAGACTGCAATACAATAAAGTCAGAAGGAATTCGTCCAAATCAATACTTAGATTTTAAGTAGTGCACCAAATTATGCACGGGTACAGTACTTTATAGAGGGTACTTTATATGCAACATACCTGCAGCAACTCGAATTAGGAAATACTTGTAATAAAAAGAACACTTCCATTAACTTACTTAAAATTAATTAATTAATTGCCTATTTTATGTTTCATTTTGATACAATATATTTATTTATTTACATCGTGATTTCCCGGTGGTTCTTTTAAAGGTACCCAGCACTGTTATGTAGACAAGGTGAACACGTGTGATTGCTATTATATTAATAATGAGATATTTACTTAACATTACAGAGAGCTGTCGAGCAAAATGTAAATAGTTTGGTTATTTGAAATTATTTGTACCTCCATAAGTGACTTTACAGGAAGTTTTCATAATTAGGCGAGAAGGGGATCCCCAGTTGCTAGTACGATGTAATTATCATTTAAGCAATAATTGTAAATATTAATAGAAAATACAGTGAAATGAGACAGGGTGAGTGAATGAGAGAGAGAGTGGAGTGACAGTAGGAAGTTCAAATCAATTGTATCATTCTGTGAATTCATTCAAAACTTACATATAAATACATTTATTCATTTACGTCGCTCATTATAGTCACGTTAGTATGAGTTCTTTGCAAGTATAGTCGTCTCGTGTGGTTCCAATGCAATAAAATATTTGTTTAAAACATTTTAATTTTGTTATTTGTTTCACGGGCTACAAAACATGATTGTAGAGAATTGTAACGTTGTGGTGGTCAGCTGAAAATTAACCCTTCCAAAAAATGCAAGTAAATTATATGCAAGCTGAAGAATAATGCAGTTCGGCATTTAATTCCAAAGTATGATTTCCAATCAATATATATACGCTATCTTGGGCAGTTTTTTAAATATTTCATTTATAAAACCCATAGACTTCCTGGTTCTCTATCAGATCGCGGGTATACTCTCTCAAAGAGATCTTATATGGTAATATCTGTTCGTATAGAGAAAATGGTTTAAACACCTTTATAACACGCGGTATGTCAGAGGCGAGCGGGAATGAAATGACAAAAATAAGTTTAAAATACATCAATATATGTAAAAGGAAATATAAAACAAACAGTTGATTGATTAAAACATGAGGATCTATACCTAGATTTCAACTGGTGTCCCCAAAGCCTGAAAAGAACCCTGTCAATTCCCAATGAAATTAGTATACAATGGATATTGCGGCGACATCCCCCTTGCTTAATTCCTCTTTCTTGTTCCACGCAATTCTTCTTCCAAGAAAGTGCACAGTGCTTATAAACAAAACTATGGTCGATAAGTCCATTTAGATTCTGTATCAACTGTTAATGATTTACCGATTTTACAGGGTGCTAAACTTGCCTGGTAAGGAAACTGACGTATTTGCAGGCAAATCATTGCTTTCCGCTGATTTATATTCAATCAACCTATCGTGCCAATTGCACTATAATCTCAAAGCGCGGATGCAACATATGCATTTGCGGTCTGTGCATAATTGCATCATGTCAGTGTCAATAAGAGTAATGATGTTTTTACTCTGGTTACATTTCACAAAATCAGTGCCCTTATTTGCAAAACCTGTCATCGAGACAAGGCACATTGTTCGCCAGGACAGAAGAGGGAAAGACCCCGCAATTATTCAATTAAAAGGGGAACCACCGACCGTAGACGACGCGCAAAAACTCCCTCCTGTTAATTATAAGGCACGCAAACTGGCCCGGATTAGACCCAGAGTGCGCAAAAGTGGAGCGAGCGGCAGATTTCAAAGAGCTGTAGTGTCCAATGAAGTCCATGTAAGTGATCTCTATTTATTTTTTATAAACATATATTTTAAAAACTGTGCCAACTTTCTTTTGACAGCCTAAAAGTGGCCAAATACGGTACGATTCAGTGCAAACATAATGAAANCCCCCCCCCCCCCCCTTGCTTAATTCCTCTTTCTTGTTCCACGCAGTTCTTCTTCCAAGAAAGTGCACAGTGCTTATAAACAAAACTATGGTCGATAAGTCCATTTAGATTCTGTATCAACTGTTAATGATTTACCGATTTTACAGGGTGCTAAACTTGCCCTGGTAAGGAAACTGACGTATTTGCAGGCAAATCATTGCTTTCCGCTGATTTATATTCAATCAACCCATCGTGCCAATTGCTAATCTCAAAGCGCCGATGCAACATATGCATTTGCGGTCTGTGCATAATTGCATCATGTCAGTGACAATACAAGTAATGATGTTTTTACTCTGGTTACATTTCACAAAATCAGTGCCCTTATTTGCAAAACCTGTCATCGAGACAAGGCACGTTGTTCGCCAGGACAGAAGAGGGAAAGACCCCGCAATTATTCAATTAAAAGGGGAACCACCGACCGTAGACGACGCGCAAAAACTCCCTCCTGTTAATTATAAGGCACGCAAACTGGCCCGGATTAGACCCAGAGTGCGCAAAAGTGGAGCGAGCGGCAGATTTCAAAGAGCTGTAGTGTCCAATGAAGTCCATGTAAGTGATCTCTATTTATTTTTTTATAAACAAATATTTAAAAAACTGTGCCAACTTTCTTTTGACAGCCTAAAAGTGGCCAAATACGGTACGATTCAGTGCAAACATAATGAAAACACTTAATTTTGCATAAATAGAGTTTTAACAAATTCAAACTTAGATGTCATGAAGCGGGTACCTTTAAAATGTCCCAACTTTCACTGTCAGGTGGGAAATGGTCGTGCTGCAGCTCAGATGGTACCGGTGACTGGTGCGGGGGGACGCGAAGGAGCCATTATGGCGGACGGTAAGTAAAATCTACTTTTCACATTTCTTGAATTAATCCCGCTTTCTACATATTCTCCAGTTTGAGATATAAAATTGATGGCCATTGGCTTCAATATTTATTTACCATCAAAAGATTTTAATTTATTTAATCATTTACTCGCTCATTTAATCATTTATTTATTTGTTTGTTTGTTTGTACTGTTTTAGGAAATGTGGTAGATTACATAGCCTCCCCTGTGGTCTGTCTCTTGACCTAATGAGGTGGCAGTTGGCCTAATTGACAACCTTCCAAAAATCGTTAATCATTGATTTTTTTATTCGGTATATATTTCAACTGTTTAGACATGAGAATATCAATCGCTACATAGCAAATTTAATTCATATCAAGGTAATAAAAAAATTCACTCTTTTTTTTTTTAATTATTTCACAAAAAGGTGCAATATCAAAGCTAAGGAACACAAAGTCGAGAGTATTTTACAAATTTAATACTTTTTTCTATTTACTAACAAGCTAAGATAATGACAGATTTGATTTTTTGGATTGAAATGAAGAATATTGTAGAGACAAAGCAACCCCTTAAGAAATGCTTACCCATGTTTGTTTGAAAAATTGCCGTTGGAAAACGCCATTCCGCATAGGAAAAATAATGCTTGGCTTACAAAGTGATTATGAACAAAAGCTCAATGAAATATTACATATTTTTAGCTTGCTGAAATATTACTGGTACTCCTGTAGGGCACCAACAGAGAACGTTTAAGCTAAGGGTAATTTACCTAATATACAACGGAAACATATTTTCAGTCTTAATTATTGGACTTCTTAGAACTGATGTTTTTTTTATATATTTTACATTGCTTCCACAGATATACAGGTATGCATATGCAATTTTCTCTTTTAGGGCGGTTCACGGCATGGCGCACACAATACCAAAACGGCATGCACTTTGACCCCCAGCCTCCGCGTCACGGCCTCGTTGTCCTTGTGCCTGGGTTGTACTTCCTCTACTCCCAGGTTTACTACCACCAGTACACGTCACACGCCATGACCCACTGCATATACATGCGGCACGCGACAGACCCGGAAACCACCAGGCGCCCTCTATCGTGCGCGCTGTCGTCTGCTAGTTCCAACCCAAACGAGGCTTTCGCAGTCGCTAAGTGGGTCAATTCGAACACGAACTATGCCAGTGGGTTGTTTGAGTTGGCAGAACATGATATCGTCTGGGTTGCAATGCAAGATGGTTTTGAACACTTTCGGATTCGATTAAACCTTAATGCGACATACTGGGGAGCGTTTCTCATCGCATGACAAAATGAACTTAAATTTTGTAAAGACATTGTTTTTTTTTTTTTTTTTTTTTTAAATGTTGAGAAGAAAAGAAACTGTATATATATATATATATATATATATATATATATATATATATATATATATAGCATATGTCAAATTGGCGTCTAGAGCTCGTTAACATATGTATGGCGTGGCGCTATCCGCGCTGTACTGATTACGCATTATAAAAGCACTTGTACATGTTCGATTATTTTTATAAGTGAAATAAACAGTATTTTTGTATCACATGTAGTATTCATTGTGAACAAAGCCAGTAAGTAGTATGAATGCAACATGATTTCAATATTTTATGCAGAAAAGACTTGTAAAAATGACCGACATTTTAACTTTGATTCTAATGATTCTTGGGGTAAGCCTATAAGATCAATATAAAACTTGGCTACCAATTCGAGATTTTTTTATAAAAAATAATATATGAGAAAAATGTTCACCAACAGAAAACTAAGTAGCAAGTATAAAAACGCGGAACTTGGAGTATCCAATTGGACCTTGGTTGTGTACCTGTACGTACAGTGTACGTCATATGCACGTCATTGCTTGCGCATGAAGATATCGATATACAAAAGATACAAAGTCGCTGAGTGTCCGTACGCTTGTATGTATACGTAAGAGTTACATGTACATACGTAAGTACATGATAACGCACAACCAGGGGCGGATTTAGGCCGTCTTCTGGGTCTTCCGGAAGACGGTCAGATTGTCAAGTTTAAATTGACGGGTATCCAATTTTTCATGTTGGAATACGGTCAAAATTAGAGGGTGAATCAACAAAGATAATTTGGAAGACTGTTAGAAAATAACTCTGGGTCCGCCCCTGCGCACAACTACATCAACCACTTGCCTGTATCTTTATCTAAACTTGCCATACCGTTGCACACCTCGATGATATATAGGAAATCGAATTGTCCCGCCAAAAGGCGCATGCGCATATTCCCAGAAAAAGAGGACATAAACAGCTTTGTAAAATGGCACTCATAACCATTATACATCCCCACCTGTGGTAGCCGCAGTCGTTAATCTCACATAAAACACACGGGGGATTCCCCCTTCATCCCATTCAACCTGGAATTTCACTTTACCGCCATGACTGCGGAAGAGGGGCTCCACAGCCATGTTAGCGCGGGAAAACACCGCGGATCGGTGCAGGCCACGCACGATGAGAACTGCGCGACGTGCGGCCGCTGCATTCGCGAGCACAGGGAATGGGTGCCCGCTGTTGTCGTGGCTGTTTTACTACTGGTAGCTCTGGCCCTCTGTGGCATCTGGGTCACGGTACAGCTGAACGCTTTGAAAGACGGCCTAGAACAGTGCGAGAGACATGTCGCGCACCTGGCAAAAGGCCAGCGGGGAGGACTCTGGTATTCTGAAGAGCCCCCAGCTGAACATGGGCGGACTCTACCACCACCATCACCATCAACAGAAAGCAATCACATGGAGAATCACTCCGACTACATGAAGTCACAAAATAACGGGGAAGACGAGTTTGACGAGGTAAGTATAAAGACACAGCTATAGTTTCTATTGCACGTTCCGCACGATACAGATGGAGCATCATCGTTAAAGGGGACAAGAATATGACCGAAGGCAACGTAAAAAGACAGCAATAATGTTTTAAAAAGATTCTTCCATATCATGACTAGAATAATACACGTGCATTGTGTTATTTCAGGTTGCTGAAACAAAAGACACAGCAGTGACAGACATTTTCAACCTCCAAGTGTCACAAGAATCCCACCTAAAGCTACGACCAAGACGCAGCTCTGAGCAGCAAGGAAACGACCGGAAAGGACGCCGGGAAAGACAAAAGTCCAAGGCAAAAGCATCTACCGCAGCGCCAACCAAACGCAAGAAAAAATGCCCGCGCAGGTGTAGACACTGTGAGTTGCATGCATTTTCTCCTTTGTCATAATGCTATCTATACTAGATACTGTTTTGTAGTTTGAAAACAACATCCTTGATTTCAATACCCTTTATCGATTACACGGATATTTGATATAAAATACCTTTAGTGATACATACGCGCACTCTGCACTGTGGTCTGTTTGTGCGCAAAAATAAAATGCACTACAGGTTTAAACAGAAATGGTAAACAGAGGCATTGATTTACTTTCAGGCTGCATCAAAGGTGATAAGGGTGAGTATAAGAGGCTAAAACGCTAACTGTTCCTCTTATTTGCTTGAAGAATCTAAAGACACCAATAAGTCATGGTTGTTGATGTTTCGCGTGCAATTTAGCGGTGACGCTATCTTGCGTTAGATAAAATAATCTCAATTTAACAGTTTTGCCAATTTAACAGTTACTTATTATCGTCAATAACATGGTCGGGTCAGATGTGAGCAAAATTATAAGGAGGTGGTGCAATCTTTGGTCAGTCTCCAGCCCGACCCGACCCGACCCGTCCATGAGCCCTAGTTGAGTATTTTAAAAGCACTTATGTNCATCCCCCTTGCTTAATTCCTCTTTCTTGTTCCACGCAATTCTTCTTCCAAGAAAGTGCACAGTGCTTATAAACAAAACTATGGTCGATAAGTCCATTTAGATTCTGTATCAACTGTTAATGATTTACCGATTTTACAGGGTGCTAAACTTGCCTGGTAAGGAAACTGACGTATTTGCAGGCAAATCATTGCTTTCCGCTGATTTATATTCAATCAACCTATCGTGCCAATTGCACTATAATCTCAAAGCGCGGATGCAACATATGCATTTGCGGTCTGTGCATAATTGCATCATGTCAGTGTCAATAAGAGTAATGATGTTTTTACTCTGGTTACATTTCACAAAATCAGTGCCCTTATTTGCAAAACCTGTCATCGAGACAAGGCACATTGTTCGCCAGGACAGAAGAGGGAAAGACCCCGCAATTATTCAATTAAAAGGGGAACCACCGACCGTAGACGACGCGCAAAAACTCCCTCCTGTTAATTATAAGGCACGCAAACTGGCCCGGATTAGACCCAGAGTGCGCAAAAGTGGAGCGAGCGGCAGATTTCAAAGAGCTGTAGTGTCCAATGAAGTCCATGTAAGTGATCTCTATTTATTTTTTATAAACATATATTTTAAAAACTGTGCCAACTTTCTTTTGACAGCCTAAAAGTGGCCAAATACGGTACGATTCAGTGCAAACATAATGAAAACACTTAATTTTGCATAAATAGAGTTTTAACAAATTCAAACTTAGATGTCATGAAGCGGGTACCTTTAAAATGTCCCAACTTTCACTGTCAGGTGGGAAATGGTCGTGCTGCAGCTCAGATGGTACCGGTGACTGGTGCGGGGGGACGCGAAGGAGCCATTATGGCGGACGGTAAGTAAAATCTACTTTTCACATTTCTTGAATTAATCCCGCTTTCTACATATTGTCCAGTTTGAGATATAAAATTGATGGTCATTGGCTCCAATATTTATTTACCATCAAGGGATTTTAATTTATTTAATTATTTACTCGCTCATTTAATCATTTATTTATTTGTTTGTTTGTTTGTTTGTTTGTTTGTACTGTTTTAGGAAATGTGGTAGATTACATAGTCTCCCCTGTGGTCTGTCTCTTGACCTAATGAGGTGGCAGTAATTGACAACCTTCCAAAAATCGTTAATCATTGATTTTTTATTCGGTCTATATTTCAACTGTTTAGACATGAGAATATTAATCGTTACATAGCAAATGAAATTCATATCAAGGCAATCAAAAAATGAAACTCTTTTTTTTATAATTTTTCACAAAAAAGTGCAATATCAAAGCTCAGGAACACAAATTTAAGTCGTGGAGAGTATTTTACAAGTTTTTAAAATACTTTTTTTGTATTTACTAAAAAGCTAAGATAATGGCAGATTTGATTTTTTGGACTGAAATGAAGAATATTGTAGAGACAAAGCAACCCCTTAAGAAATGCTTACCCACGTTTGTTTGAAAAATTGCCGTTGGAAAACGCCATTCCGTGAGTCTGCGCATGGGAAAAATAATGCTTGACTCACAAAGTGATTATGAACAAAAGCTCAATGAAATATTACATATTTTTAACTTGCTGAAATAGTACTGGTACTCTGGTAGGGCACCAACAGAGAACGTTTAAGCTAAGGGTATTTTACCTCATATACAACGGGGAACATATTTTCAGTCTTAAATATTGGACTTCTTAGAACTGATGTTTTTATATATTTTACATTGCTTCCACATATATGCATATACAGTTTTTCTTTTAGGGCGGTTCACGGCATGGCGCACACAATACCAAAACGGCATGCACTTTGACCCCCAGCCTCCGCGTCACGGCCTCGTTGTCCTTGTGCCTGGGTTGTACTTCCTCTACTCCCAGGTTTACTACCACCAGTACACGTCACACGCCATGACCCACTGCATATACATGCGGCACGCGACAGACCCGGAAACCACCAGGCGCCCTCTATCGTGCGCGCTGTCGTCTGCTAGTTCCAACCCAAACGAGGCTTTTGCAGTCGCTAAGTGGGTCAATTCGAACACGAACTATGCCAGTGGGTTGTTTGAGTTGGCAGAACATGATATCGTCTGGGTTGCAATGCAAGATGGTTTTGAACACTTTCGGATTCGATTAAATCTTAATGCGACATATTGGGGAGCGTTTCTCATCGTATAACATAACATAACGGACTTAAATTTTGTAAATACATTGTTTTTTTTTTTTTTTTTTTTTTTTTTAAAGTTTTTTGGAAAAAAAAAAAAAAAAAAAATATATATATAAAAATATATAAATGAAGTTATTCTTTATCAAAGAAACTACATAACTATGAGGTTCAAAAGGTTTTATTTTTACCATTATATGTACAAAAGAGATGAAAGAGACATTTGCCAATGCTTAAGTNGTATAAATTAAATAAGGGTTTTAAATTTTTGTAAATACATTGTTTTTTTTTTTTTTTTTTTTTTTTTGAAAGTTTTTAGGAAAAAAAAAAAAAAAAATATATATATATAGCATATGCCAAATTGGCGTCTAGAGCTCGTTAACATATGTATGGCGTGGCCTATCCGCGCTGTACTGATTACGCATTATAAAAGCATATGTACATGTTCGATTATTTTTATAAGTTAAATAAACAATATTTTTGTATCGCATGTAGTATTCATTGTGAACAAAGCCTGCAAGTAAAATGAATGCAATATGATTTCAATATTTTATGCAGAAAAGACTTGTAAAAATGACCGACATTTTAATTTTGATTCTAATGATTCTTGGGGTAAGCCTATAAGATCAATACCAAAATTGGCTACCGATTTTTAATGAAAAATAATATATTAGCAAAATGTTCACCAACAGAAAACTAAGAAGCGAGTATAAAAACGCGGAACTTTGAGTATCCAATTGAGCCTTGCTTGTGTACAGGTAGGCCTACGCACAGTGTACGTCATATGCACGTCATCGCTTGCGCATGAAGATAACGATATACAAAAGATACGAAGTCGCTGAGTGTCCGCACGCTTGTATTTATACGTAAGAGTTACATGATAACGCACAACTATACGTCAACCACTTGCCTGTATCTTCATCTGAACTTGCCATACCGTTACACACCTCGTGCTGTCGATGATATATAGGAAATCGAATCGTCCCGCCAAAAGGCGCATGCGCATATTCCCAGAAAAAGAGGACATAAACAGTTTTGTAAAATGGCACTCATAACCATTATACATCCCCACCTGTGGTAGCCACAGTCGTTAATCTCACATAAACAGGGGGATTCCCCCTACATCCCATTCAACCTGGAATTTCACTTTGCCGCCATGACTGCGGAAGAGGGGCTCGACAGCCATGTTAGCGCGGGAAAACACCGCGGATCGGCGCAGGCCACGCACGGTGAGAACTGCGCCACGTGCGGCCGCTGCGTTCGCGAGCACAGGGATTGGGTTCCCGCTGTTGTCGTGGCTGTTTTACTCCTGGTAGCGCTGGCCCTCTGTGGCATCTGGGTCACGGTACAGCTGAACGCTTTGAAAGACGGCCTAGAACAGTGCGAGAGACATGTCGCGCACCTGGCAAAAGGCCAGCGGGGAGGACTCTGGTTTTCTGCAGAGCCCCCAGCTGGACATGGGCGGACCGTACCACCACCATCACCATCAACAGAAAGCAATCACATGGAGAATCACATCGACTACATGAAGTCACAAAACAACGGGGAAGACGAGTTTGACGAGGTAAGTATAAAGATATGGTTTCTATTGCATGGTCCCCAACAGATGGAGCATCATCGTTAAAGGGGACAAGAATATGACCGAAGGCAACGTAAACAGTCAATAATAATGTTTTAGAAAGATTCTTCCATATCATGACTTGAATAACACATGTGCATTGTGTTATTTTAGGTTGCAGAAACAAAAGACACGGCAGTGACAGACATTTTCAACCTCCAAGTGTCACAAGAATCCCACGAGAAGCTACGACCAAAACGCAGCTCTGAGCAGCAAGGAAACGACCGGAAAGGACGCCGGGAAAGACAAAAGTCCAAGTCAAAAGCATCTACCGCGGCGCCAACCAAACGCAAGAAAAAATGCTCGCGCAGGTGTAGACACTGTAAGTTGAATGCATTTTCTCCCTTGTCATAATGCTATCTGTACTAAATACACAACATCCTTGATTTCAATACCCTTTATCGATTACACGGATATTTGATATAAAATACCTTTAGTGATACATACGTGCACTCTGCACTGTGGTCTGTGTGTGCGCAAAAATAAAATGCACTACAGGTTTAAACATAAATGGTAAATAGAGGCATTGATTTACTTTCAGGCTGTATCAAAGGTGATAAGGGTGAGTATAAGAGGCTATGACGCTAACTATTCCTCTTATTTGCTTGAAGAATCTAAAGACACCAATAAGTCATGGTTGTTGATGTTTCGCGTGCAATTTAGCGGTGACGCTATCTTGCGTTAGATAAAATTATCTAAAACATTATTAATGTGTCGAGTTTGCCAAGTTAACAGTTACTTATTATCGTCAATAACATGGTCGGGTCAGATGTGAGCAAAATTATAAGGAGGTGGTGCAATCTTTGGTCAGTCTCCAGCCCGACCCGACCCGTCCATGAGCCCTAGTTGAGTATTTTAAAAGCACTTATATGTGTATGTTCGCCCATTTAAAGTCAATGATGAAGGCTAGAAAATAAAGAAAAAAATCTGACATTGATATATCGTAAACAGGTGGGCCAGTGGAGACCAGGTATGACGTACTTTAATAAAGTATTCTTTATCTATCTTAGGTGATAAAGGCGACCCGGGACCAAGTGGTCAGGTAAGAAGGAGAGAGAAAAAAACGAATGAAAACGATCAGTATATATATGTAGGCCGTTGCCGAAACGTGCGGCTTGCTTTAGTGGACTCCTTTACATAAAAGCAAAGCTATTTTGAGCTTACAATATCTAAAAACATACCGGCGTAACAAAACTGAGGGTCCATGTAACAGAAAGTACGCTCTCCATATAGTTATAATGGTTAGGGTTAGCCTGACCTAAGTGGGTCAAAATCTAGGGTGAGGGTTGCCTGTACAAATTTATGGGAAGAGGACTCTCTCTCAAGGGGGACCCTGTGTCACGTTACACCGGTACAGCTGTTTTTCTCGATGTGAAAAGGCCTTAAACCTAGTTATAGTGGCATTAATGTGTGCTCCCTCAATACTCAATGGCAGGTGAAGTTCTTTCCATTGATTTATTTGAAATATATAGTTTCAAATCCAGGTTATTCAGGTGTAACCTGCAGTTGTGGCACTGTAAATAACATTAAAATGTAGATAGTTCCTTGTACACCGAGTCCGTACCAGAAACTCTCGAATTTTGTCATCTTTATATACGAACCTTATTTGTTGCAGATGTCGCTGGCGGCGGCACTATACCGGGGAAATATAGGTCAGTGCGACGTCCCTGGATTACAATTTGTGTCACGTGATCTGATAAACTGACATGGTGTTTATGAAAACGAAAGTAATACGTACAATATCGTATAATATTGAGGAAACTCTGAATAAGCTTAAAAAGTTACTCATGCTAAATATTCAGCATTAGTTTAATGGGACTTTATAAATATTAACTTACAGAAATATTTGTTTTTAAAAAGCACGTACACGAATAAATAATTCTTATGTAGAAGGTCAAGGTGAAAGGAGCACGAGTGGCTCTATAAAAAATTTCTTATCAAATAACGACTTCAAAATATCTTAACGAAATACACCCATGTATCTACGTACTTGGCCAATTGGTAAAATAACTTTATATCAAAACATTCCTCTCACAGGTACATTTGATCCAGAAAGTATACCAGAGAGCAGGAGAGATTGCGACGAATTTGATAAGGTGAAAAGAACCTTTAGAAGTTGTGGTAAGTTCTTTTACCTAAAAAGGCCAAGATATCAGAAAGTGTCATATCGTTATATAGATATTCAAGTATTGCAACTGCTTTATGTATAAAGCTACAACAATGAATAATTGGTGTCGTACATTTTCTCCGTACAGCATTTGGTTTAAAATTTTAAAATTAAAATTCAAAATTTGAAATTGAAATTTGAAATTTGTTTAAAATTTGATATGTGATATGTACAAGGTAAGAATCTTGTTGGTTTATTTCTTTTTATACAGTTTATTAATTTTACAGATGGTAAACTTATGTACTGGGAGAAGGTACCTTGGATGAATGACCCAGATCATGCGAGAGTTTACGAGAACAAGTTTCAGAAGACCTGGGACGGGCAGGTTCGAGTGACTGAAGGGGGTCTGTACTATTTATATGGTCAGGTGAGCAGACCAACAGAAAAAAATCCATTGGCCTCATTCAGAACCACGGAACAAATATGGCGACCCACTTAAAAACTTGCCGTCGAATCCCCTAATAGACATTGAATAGATTCCTCGTGGGAAAAATGCAACAGCCATTCAAGTGGGTCGGCCATATTTGATCCGTGAACTTGTAAGTCAGCTGTTGTGAATGGGGACATTGAATATATAAGCGCTTGGTAACATAAAGTGCCATTCATTAAGCTTCACTGGGTTTTCCCAACGTTATTTTTTGCTCCTATCGTATATAAAGTGCCCCTATTATCTTTTTATTTACTATTCATTGTTATAAACGAGTTCGATTCGACTTTCAATTTTTTCGTTTTTGGTTTTAGAACATTTAAAGGGACGAAACGCACAAAGGCACAAATATTGGAGTTAAATTTTATTTTAGAATCAGAATATAAAATCTGCTGCATTTTATCATTTGCGTCTAATATCTGTATTCTTTTGTCTGATACAAAAGTCAGTCATCTTTCTCTTTTTCTTTCGTATGAGTCATGTCTTGCCCAAACATGCAGAAAGTAGGTAAATTGTTCTCTAACGAAAAAAAAAACATTTCCACATTAAAAAAACGCAATAAGTTTCTATTTTCCATAAGAGCACACGCGTGTCAGTATTTTTTGTCCTCTGGTTAAATAATATTCTGTGTTAAGAATAATTGTACCAAACATGTTTTGGTTTAACTGCTTAACGGGCATTTTTCATGTTCTGCACAAAGACTTGAATCCACCTGTTAGACCTACCTAAACCTACCATTTGAACCTACCTGTTTAACGCTGTTTTTTGTCTTCCCTCAGATAACGTTCTACAACGCCTCTCCGTTTAACACAGCTGGCATAGATGTTAACGGTCATACTGTCGTTAGGTGCACCAACAGCGTTCCAATCACTAACCCAGGCAGCGCTTCCAGCACCTACCAAACTTGCTCTATGAGGACGGTTTGGAACCTCGAGGAGAACGCCGAAGTACAGATGGTTGTGAAACAGCCAAATCGAGCTCTCGACATGCGCCCGGATACGACGTTCTTTGGGTTGGTGAAATTGAATGACGTCACGGAGATGATGATGACGTCACCAACTTCACCACAGTGAGGACAGGTCTTGATTAGTCACACATATGATGTGCTTGAGTCCTTTGATGTCAAGGACCAATTTGTTACAGACATTCTATTTCATTGATCTGGAGTGGTGTGGTCTCATTACAATGACGTTTTATCAAAGGTTACTTAAAAAGAAATGCATGAAACCAGCCGATGTGCTGATCAAGGTGCCGCCTCATCCTACAGTCAATAAGCGAGCAATACAACTATGTCAGAGGTGTAGGCTACATTTAAGTAAGGTCCTAGCGCGTTTATCCTTTTCCGGTTTGATTGGCCGAGCTCTGTAGCAGGCGGTGAGGTGCGCAAACCATTCACTATGGCAGAGAAATGGAGGAAATAGTGTTTTTAACTTCTAATTTCATCCTTTTAAATGGCTTAAAAGATAATATTTTAGAAGGCATGTTAGGTATAAGTACAGAGAATGCGGTCCGTCATAACTAAGTAGGTTGTCGTTGGCTGTGCCATAATATAAGCCTATTTCAAAGCACCATTTTCTGTAAGGTTGGCTTATTTGTCAACACCAGTGCTTGCTACGATGAGGTTCGAAAATGAAGTGTGGCAGACGATACAAGGCGTGACAGATGTCTTGAGAAGTTGTTACCAAATTCTTACTGTTTTCAGAGGACTGCAATATGAAGGCCGCACCGAAAGACTGCAATAAAACCCACAACACACTGCAAAAATAATGGAATTTTATAAACGTAAATGTATTTCCCGTAGGCAATCTATCAAATCAAAGGGATTTAAGATGTGTTGAGTTTATTAATTCTATTGACATTATTATGTGGAGTGTATATAACAATCATCCTTATTCATATAATGAATATTCATATATTATAATTGGATTTGCAACAATTTACATCTGACATGTTATCAGCTTTTCGTTTTTATTTGTTTATCTTTTCATTATTCATTTGCATTTGATATCTCTGATATATCTCTCATTCTCAGTATCATATTTTTTCTGTCCCTAATATAACTGTACATATACGATATCTCTTTTTGTGTATCATAATTAGATTTATTTGTAAATATCGCTTTTATTTAATTATGAAAATAAATTTCCTGTAGTTTCTTTGAATTATTGTAACATAGGGTGACGTATAAACATGCATACGGTATAAATGTTTTGAGTTGTTTTTTATTAACATCCACATAGTGAAGTCCTTAATTGCTTTGTCTTCGAGGCTCTTGTGACAGAATTTATCAACGTTAACGACACTGAATTCGAGTGATGTGTGCTGTTGCACCTTCATGTAAAAAGTGTTTTTCCGAGAGATGCCTGTATCCAGATCCCCTAAATGTATTTCAATTGAGAAATTTGACACGAATAAAAACTGTTTGCAATTTACCACACAATGAAATCAACTTTACCCACTCCAAGTCCCGTTAAGGTAAACTACGCAGTAGATTTCTTTGCTGATAAAAATAGATCCCATCAAGGTCAGCGTTCATATTCCACTATACAGCGCCGTGGTGTGCTTAGTTCATTGTAATTTTTGTTCGTTTTGGTAAAGGTGTTTACCGCGGCTGTAAATAAACGCAGAACAAACACCATGGAGTTAAGGGCTTCCGAGAGATTGCGCCAATCCAGTGTGGTGAAAATTTGTCTTGTTGGAGGAGGAGCTGGAGCACTATGCGCAGTAATGATATGCGCAGTTGTCTTGTCCCTTGCGCTCGACCAGGGGTTCGTTAACGATTTTACTCAACGACAACTGGCAGCAAACTCACACCCAGAATCAACACGTAATGAGGTACAGGTACTCGGTTCGCTGGTTCATTCAAGAAGCAAACGTTGGTTGAACAAAGGGCAACAATTTGCCGAACCATCTTCAACATTAAGGAAGAGAAACCCACGTGACTTGGAAGACAAAATTAGCGGTCACAAACGTCATCAGCGGAACCGTCGATCTGTTGAGGTAAACATGTATTTGTTCAAAAGGATGCATTTGTTAATTTCAACAAATCTGTTGGGCTGTTAAACATTAAAAAAAGTAAATGTGAAGATATGAATGTAAGGTCCAAAGTGAAATAATGCCCTACTGGTAATATCCATTTGTTCTTAACAGTACCGGTACGGTATGGTACGAAAGTACTGTAGATTTATTTCTTGAGTTAGACTGATATGTTCTTGTTTCACAAATATTCACAATACCACACTTCTTTAAGCATTTAATGTTTTTTTACAGTCTAAACCGTCCATCCACCTTGTTCCAAAAACTGGAGGGAACCCTAGTGTTGCTCCTGTCTTGAGTGACGGTACGACTCATGCATGGTCATCGTACCGTGTATGAGTACATTTTAGCAAGACAGAGTGTGTGTGTGTGTGTGTGTGTGTGTGTGTGTGTGTGTGTGTGCGCGCGCGCATGTGTGTGTGTAGAACATTAGTCGTATGCTTGCATGCACTATAGTGCCAGTAACTAAATGATACCCGGTACTAATATCAGTAAATGTCGTTCAACCAAAGTACATTTAACTGTAGACTGACCTTTTATTGCAAGTGTACATGTATATATTTACATACGTTGTTCAGTGCATCAATTTCTAATATTACAGGTACGTTCTGCCACTGGCGGCACCTCACGCTGTCCAATGACGGCAGTCTCTATTACGACGCCTATCACAACGTTGTGGTCATCACAAAGCCAGGTGTGTACTATGTGTACGGTCAGGTGTATGTCAGGGCCACATCGGACAAAAATGTGTCCTTCTGTTTATTCCGAGGGCACAGGAAACGTCACAAGTGGTTCATCTTTGATTTAAACACCCATGATCTTTCTGGCGCATTGGTTTGTGGTCTGTTACAGCCTCGATTTGATTTCACACCGACCCAATTCCAACTGACCAATGAGGAGGTCGTTATAGAATTGCCAAGGGATAAAATGAGGCATGCGTACCGTACACGCGCTACCAGCATGGTTTCAGGTGTATTTTATTTTGATGAGAATGATACTGTTTCGATGGCGATAGCAGGAGGTACTGATGTCAGCGAACACAGGGAGGATTTACAAATCGGCCTCCAACACAATTTCACATATTTTGGAGCCTTTATGGTGTAATTCAACGTACCATGGGCAATAAATTTGTGAAATGTTAAGAATATTGTATGCTTAAACGTGCCTGTGTACGTGCATCGCAACTTACAAAACGATGATGCCAAATCTCCACTTTTATACCGTGTAAATACCGTGTATAATTAATACTAGTACACAGGGTACTAGTACTTTGCACTTAGTATTGATTCTTATTTTTAGGCATTCATTCAGTCTGTTAGTTAAATGGATGTTTCACCGATCTCTGTGAAATGCTGTATAACCCTGTTAGTGACATTTGTATCGACATGAAACCGAATCCATTATTAGTTTACTATCAGTATTCATAAAAGTCTTAAACTTCATGTGGAGTGACGTCATGTGCAGCAACTCGACCCGATTGGCTAGCAAAAGAGCGCGGATGTCGAGTAGAAAAATAATGAACAACCCTATGGAAAATGGTGAGTGGGAAATCCCCCAATTTACAGTATTTCACATCAGAACAAAATGCAACTCGTTCAATTTACACAGATATTTTTTATGTACATACACATGTACACTTACCCTAACATATACATGTACATGTATGCTCAAATAAAATAAAAGGGTAAAATTATCAATAAAATCACTCTATTTTCTCCGCTGCTCCGCTCCAGTGAATCAACTACACCTGTGCGCATCTCGCCTTGCCACTGAGTGCGCCCAGTTATCCTCCAAAAATTACGATTCGCAGAAAGACGAGAATCTACGAGACTTAATTCGTGCAGTCATGTGCATGCTAGAGTGTTCAGTGCGCAACTTTTTTTTCACATTTTTTCCACTATTGAGATTTTGCTGTACAGTAGTTTACAGTTAAAATGCATCTTTAATACTCAATAAATTAATAATTGCACTTGTACTTATTTGAGTTGTTGCTTTTTACCGTGATATTGCGTCAAGACGGTAGGCCAAAAACGATAAACGGGATGTATTATTATTACTATTATTATCATTATAATAATAATTATCAACGGCGAGCAGTGATCAAATTATTGAAGGCAATGGAGGTTTGTAGTCACGCACGAAATAATTCAATCTAACATTTCTGGCAAAATGGCATCACTTTTGCTTTAGATCTAGCCCAATTGCTCTCATATACTTGTTGCGAATGTAGATTTAATTGCTTCTCCATGATATCACGCATTTTGTCACAGAAAGTTTAAGAAACTTGTACAAAAAAGGTAGTCTGTTAGTAAAATAACATGCCAAGTGCAAAACGTGCGTATTTTCTTGTTTACCGCAGATGCTGGGACCTTGTTAAATCAAATCTGGGGGTCTGGAAGTAAATGGTGTTACATATCAATACGGCCGCTGATGCCCCAGTAAGCTAAATACACGTCCCAAGCGCTACGTTAAAAAAAGGCTCACACAAATCGATATGGACGTACGAGTATGCACCTCCTGTTTGTTTCTGTTGAAGTCGTTACTACAATTTGCAGTGATCATTACTGCAGTGTGTATAGCCTATTCGCGAGCGGTTAGTGTAGGGGAACCACCGTCATCGGAAGGGAAAGCCCTGCTTGATCATTCGGAGATAAATGTGAACGGGGAAGTCCCTGCAAGGATCTATGGCGGTGAATTCACACCCCTACATAATGGCCGCACAAGGGATCGTGATGGTGGCCGTAATGTGAGACGGAGGCGTGGGGGTCCCCAGGACAATAAGAGGGTCCTGATAAAGGCAGCCTTTGGACCACAACCGTCCTTTTCGCCACTTAGGCCTAAATGCGTGGGAAAAAATAGAAAGGTAATAATAACAACGTATTAACAAAGTTTGAAAATGAAAGGAAGTAATACTATCTTTTTTTTTCTGACAGAAAAGTAAGTGGACCCTTTCGGCTCTCTCCTGTATGCATAATATTATTATTATATGGCTAAAATCGGAACGTGTTTGGAAACCTATCAGTTTTTTTTTCAGGGTCGCGGTCTGATCCACCTAATTCCTAAGATGACTGGAAAGACAGACGCCATCACTGCTACAATAACAAAACAGGGTGCGTCTCTTTTTTTTACCTATATTGAAACAACATGTTCGTGTTTTTGGTATGCACGCAACAATAGAGTTAGATAAATTAAGATTAAGTACCGTCTTTGCTATCGCCTACACGTGTTTTGTACATATTAATTTTAAATTTTTACCCCCTTGTGTCAGAGTCGCCCTGAAACCTACGTAATATTCATAAAGACAAAAAATTAAAACCATAACGTCTTCTGTTCTGCATGAGATTTCTTGATTGATGAAACATTTTCTAGAAATAAAGACACTTTAGAAATGATATTGAAAACATCGATAAATTTTCTTTAAAAATATGCCCAGTTTGATGCACTTACTTGACTAAAACGTAAATGTATAATTTTTTATAGGGACGTTTACTCAATGGCAGCGTGTCACTACCAACCGGAAGACATATCTAAGATATGACGTCACCACTAATGCAATAGTGACATTCCGGAAAGAGGCGATCTTTTATGTGTACGCACAAATTCACTTTCATCAGATGACGTCACAAACACTAATGTTTTGTATCTACAAAAGCGCCCAATCCCAGACCGACAACAGTAGTGACATCAGGTAAGTACACGTGACAGTGTTGGTGACGTCATGGGTACAGTTAGTGGAGACGTCAGGTCCGAAGCACCGACAATGCTTGTGTCAACAGGGATAAGACAATGTCGATAAAAATGGGGACATCATGCGCGATGGGCTTACGTCAGTAATGGTGGTAAGAGTAGAACTTTAAAAATCTTACAGTACATGTTACTGCATGTGGTCTTCTCTTTGAAATCTACATATTAGACTTATTTGCACCACCACGAAGACAGACTATAATTAATTGCCCTCTTTGCTTAAAATATATATATATATATTCATTAAAGGAAATAATTCAAATAAAACAAGTGATATTTTCAGGTGTAAAACAAATAACCTAAACAGAGTGACGTCTTTTCTCAACCAAAAAAACGAAACTTTATGCTCATATTTTCAGAGACAGATCAACGGCTCTGGCATGTGGGTCATCAACTACAAGTTATATTCCTTTCTACAAAAACCAGCAGGACAGAGAACCAAGCTTCGTGTGGGAAAACGCCAACACCGTCTTTATCGGCGGGGTCTTCCCTTTGCTCTGCAGGGACAGGCTATGGCTCGGGATGTTTCAAATGGACTCCGGAGAGTATGAAGGTTTTAAAATCAGGATCAATAGAAACTCCACATATTTCGGAATGCACGAGGTCTATTGACGTTTTATTTTGGATATATTTTTAATTTTGTCATGTAAATTGTAGATTGCGTTTCAATGCCCATTTTGTAAATATTTTAATTCTGTACAGTATACACAGTATATGTGCATGTGTATTATTACATATAGTAGCCTACTAAGGAATATGTAAGGCAGTAAGCTCTAATCACCCACTGGACAATATTGCATGTACCTGACCCAAATCATGTATATACCATATTTATTTTCATCATATTAAATCTCGTTTAGAATGACAAAAAAATCTCCACCACTGCGTCACTTTCGTTATAGATTAAACACATATCCAGGTTCTGAAGAAAATCATATTTCCACGTAATTCAGGAATACTAAAAGAAATTGTTCGTCTACGTAAGACCTAGGGATTAACTAAATACACGTGCATGTCCTAGTAAAATAAATGTTACATTTCATTTTGAGAAAATACCAGCTGAACGCTTTCTACACTTACAGGTGAGAAAACAGAGTATTATTTTTCTGCGTGATGATAAATTGATAAAATTGGATATTAAAATATAAAAATATGAAAACGAATTATGTACTCCAAGGAAAAATTAATAAGGTTACGAAGATCTGCGTTGTATTTAAAAACATTAGTTGATATTCGAAATCGAAAGAAAAAACTAATTATTTTCAAAAATCTAAAAGGAAATTGAAAGTCGCATTTCAGCTTCGAATGGGAAAGTGAAAATCTACGTTCCAGTGAGATATTGGCAACGGTTTAAAGAGTTTTTCTAATAAAAATGAGAGCTAAATGCCTTATGGCATTATTGCAAAAAAACAAATTAAACTTCTACTTGGCAAAAATAACAATGTTTTCCACATAAAACATAACGTTGCACTCGCGCATGATAAAGAAAAACAAATATTATTAAACGCGTGCATTTCCTCATAAGTGAGAAATGAAACCAAATGCAAAAATAGGATTTTCACTTAAGATATGACCACGGCTGTTCTTTCTCTCTTTCCCTTAAGCAAATTATATTGCCTACAAAATCAAAATGTGAAAAATGTTTTTATATACAAAATGGGAGTATAAAATTTATTTTCTTATCAAATTGAAAAAGTGAAAAATTGTTATTTCTACTTTAAAAAGTCAAAGTATACAATCAGTTTACACCGGGAGAGAGACATTAAAAACAACAGCACAGACGAACACACAAAACACAGAATAATTATAGAGGTTAACATCCTTATACATTCACAAAAAAAAAAAAGAAAAAGAAAAAAAACTCGACGCACCACCCCAAAAGCCCACATCCTTGTTCCAGGAAAACCTACATCCCCCAAAGGTACACAAATAGTGCTATCGGTTTCATTTCACCGGTAAACATTTTAGGCTACCCCAGATCTCACTACGCAAACATGGCGGCTTCGAACGAGGTGTTCATGTCAACACTCGTTCTGTCGTGTTGTGCGTGCTTAATCCTCGCGTGTGTTTCAGCAAGCTCTGATGACGCCTGGGATGATCTAGGGCGCTTGTGGAAGAGTGGTGCAACGCGAGGGGAACCCCCGCCTATGGAAAAGTTTAGAGTCGCCATACTTGATGGTAAAAGGATCTTGCATACCAGTGACTCACTATTTAGGTCAGGGATGCCCCGTGCGAGGCCACGTTTGTATGTTGACAGTTTTGAGCGTCTCAAAAACAAGCACCAAACACCATATGTGCCCTTTTATTCAAGAGCAAATCCAAACCTACCGATAACTGCGCACAACATAGTAAAAAGAGTAGCTAAAGTGTCGCGTAAAAGCAAGGTATGTGGACTTCAAGTAAATATATTTTTCAAACACCTTGTGACAGTTCAATTTGAACAAAACTGAAAGGATCACGGGATAATTTGGCAAGCTTTGATTTCTTGATAAAGTTTAAATAAATCATTGTTCCTCTTATATTGCGTCGTCTCGCACAAGATTTGCAAGCATGTTTTTGTTCAAAATGAGCCCTGTGTTTTTAACCTCTTAGTATAGATGCTTTATATTGTATTTATGTCATGGTTAGTAAATCTTTTTATCAATCACGGTAGCGCTGTGTACTCGGGTTGCCGTGCATTAATTCCACCAAGCAGGTAGTAGAAACAGCAGTGGATTAAGGTTGACTCTCTCTCTCTCTCTCTCTCTCTCTCTCTCTCTCTCTCTCTCTCTCCGATAATACAATGTATATCAAAGTCTCTTTAACTCCAGGCTAGTGTGATACATATGTTACCAGAGGGAAGAAATGACGCCCCTATCAGTAAAGTCACCAAAGACGGTAAGCTTGGCAGATTTCCCAAGAAATTTACCACGGTGTGATAAAAGATGTCATGTTCAATTTCTGACTTTACGCTAATTGAAAAATCAGTATATATTTTTTCGCGTAACGTTTTACTACTGTAATTATGTGTGTTGAAGCATAAATCATCGTCTATCTCTTTATTAAGTGATGCTGTTTTATCTGTTCAGTTGTTTTAATTTGTTCACTATTATCATTATTTATTCATATGATAATCTTTAAAAAATATTATAATACGGGTTTCTTTTCCCTGGCTCAAAATGTGCGTACATACAAAACAGATCATTTTAGATGATTAAACAGTATAAAACTATGTACCGGTATAACATACATGACACATTACTCAACTAAATATAAGAAATCCTCGATCGATGTTTCTCTAAATCTTTTCCATTTCATTTGTCGTACAAATCTAAGGCCCCGTTCCCATACCTAGATCGATCTAGTGGGAGCGGTCCATCTCCGAGGGGTTTCTCGCTAAATTGCACTCTGCTTCAGTGGCATAGATGTCTGGCAAGCGCACTGAAGCTGCTAAAAGATACTTAATTACCCCCTAACAGCTTCAGTAGGCGTGCCAGACATCATTGCCGCTTAAGCCGGATGCAATTTAGCGAGAATTTCGTCAGGGATGGACCGATCCCACTAAATCGATCTAGTTATGGGAACGGGGTCTTATCTCCATAGGTACATTCGGCCACTGGGAACCGCTGACCCAGCAGAAGATTAAGTATGACCCGTCCAGTAACACTATGGTGGTCACCAGGGCCGGTTTCTTCCACGTGTACGCCCAGGTCCATTTCCACATGTTCACCTCGCATGCTATGGTGTTCTGTTTATACAAGACTGATTTTAGGACGGCACAGCGCAAAGGAAACGACAGGTGAAGAGCCCCGCCTCCTACCCCCCCCCCCCCCCCCCGATTCTCTTTTTCATGGGGATAGGTGAATAGGTGTCACCACCATACCCCCTCCCCCATACCAACGTGCGCTGGGTCTTTCTGAACCTAAATGTAGCTACATTTATGTGCGAGCTAAACTTATAATTACGTTCATAATATTCATATCAGATTATAATATAACAATTTGTTTTAATATTTATGTACAAATATAAAATGAAAAATTATGTGATCCGTCGATAAGACAATGTAATAATGTACATGTATATAAATAATATAAGTGATAAATATTATATCAGTATATCTAATATATTTGCCTCTGTTTTTTATATATTTTTACACTCATTTAGGTGTTTCTTTATTTTCTTTATTCGTTTGCTTGATTCATTAATATATTTGCCTCTGTTTTTTATATATTTTTACACTCATTTAGGTGTTTCTTTATTTTCTTTATTCGTTTGCTTGATTCATTAACTGAATAACTGGGCTGAGAACGGACGTTGATTTTCTTCATATATTGTTTCATTTTTTTAATCGCTTAGGTCCAACTCCCCAAGCCTCGTGTGCGGAGAGTCCACTCCCAGCTACACGCCTCACACCCCCCAGTGCGCAGTACACCCCTGCGGCATTAACGGATGCAGATGCACGTGGTTCAATGCCGCGACCGTGCACGTGGCCGGGACGTTCTTTCTCGCGAGATATGACGCGATCTGGCTTGCAGTTCGGGGAGATGAGGATGTTGGTTATGATATAAAGATAAACTTGAACTCGACTTACTTTGGTGCTTACTCTGTGTAATATTCTAAGCAATGGAACATTCCCATAATCATTACACTGTACATATCCATCGCTTTATTCTCAAATGATTATCTATTTTTATATTAAGAGAGAACCCCAGAACTATTTACTTCATCCTCGTCCTCTATTATCCAGGTAATTTCCTCGATTTGTAACTTTGACTTTGTGATATTTTGAGGTAATTTGACCAAATGTTTATACCCCCCCCCCCACCCCGTATACTATTTGGATACATGCACCATCACAATGGGTGACGCCTATAGTATTTAGATGAAAGAATCCATGCCATGGATTTAGAGAGGTACATGTACCTTTTTGTACAGTTTTATTTAGCTCATGTAAACAGCCAATTAATTTATTCAAGTTGATAATTTATTACATTGTGTATTGCCAATCAAATTGCACTGAATACAGCCACACAGCGACGATTGATTGTTAGCATTTTATGAAATTGGAATTTGAAATACATTTCTATAAAAGCAGTCTCTAAGTAAATGAATATAATAAGCCGTATACAAGTACATCTGTAGTTGGTATATATTTATGTGCATTTTGCTTGTTGATTATATTGTTTATTGTATCAATCCGTGCACTTTATCTAAATAATAGATTTATCGTGTCTTTTTAACTATAAGTTAATCGCTTGAATTCTTGCAGATAATGCGCCAATCAAATTGTTTATATCCACGACTTAAATATTTATACCGCACACACGCACGCACGCACGCACGCACGCACACACACACACACACACACACACACACACATGCGAGCTATAAATACGTGTACCTGGTCATAAATAAAAATTGAAATGTAATGCGGTGTTGTACAGCAGAGATCCCCCTTCCCTCCCCCCCCCCCCAGTTGTGTTTAATTTCCTTGAAGACTTACCTGCTAATATCGTAACCCCCAGGCCGACCCTGGGGAAACACGACACCTCGTTACCTTGTTAAAACTCCTCTTTACAAGCCTATCAATAGACCCTAGCGTGCAAAACGCTTGTTTATTTTTATACTTTCTTACATTTATTGCGGTTGAGCGGGTCTTAAAATAAACATGTTGACTACTCATTACAATGGAAGAAATTCTGACATTTGGAAGTTATCCAAAACGTTTTGTTTGATTCACTGTGTTCCAAAAAATGTTGAAAGTCAAGGTAACCAATGTGCAATTTGTATGGGATGAAAAAAGAGAACGGATGTTATTTTCCGGTCTGTCTAAGTTTTGCTGAGATACCAGCTATCAGCCGAGAGAGAGGGTGTGTACAGGTGCATTTAAATGATAGATCCGGAGCACTTTGTGCATGTATCCCCAGCTTAGTTTCTGATGTACCCTTTCCTCCCTTGAGAAAAAAAACGAAAAAGTTAAAGACATCCCATCTTTGTGCCCTGCATGCAATAGTAAATTTGCATACGTGTAGATCTACCGTTTAACATCTGTATGCTTTTGCCCCCCCCCCCACCCTTAGACCCCATTCCCATAGGTTTTAGATCGATCTATCCCTGTGGGGAGTCTCACTAGATTACTGTCAGCTTAGCCGGCTTAAGCGTCTGGTCCACCTACTAAAAGCTGTAAGGGGGTAATTAACTTTGGTGCGCGCTCGGCTGACTGCAATTTAGCGTGAACCCCCAGGGAGTTAGGTCGATCTAAATTTTAATCTCTGGATCGATCTAAATCTCTGGGAATACACCCTTAAGCAACATCCTAAATCTGCAGCTTACAGATAAATGTTTTCTAACGTTGACCCTTTTCAACTGACCGGGATATTTAATCTAGGCCCTCGATGTCACGTGCCCTGGCGCTGTCTCCGCGGACCCCGTTTAAAGAGACCCGTTGTTATCTACTGGGTAGTGTAATACAGGTGCGACAGATGTAATGTCGCACAATCTGTGTCAGGTCACCAAGGTCACAGGCTGCTCCTCCCAGGGGCCCAAACACACCGGATATTATTGGTAAACACAGGTAAATCTATGGGTAAATCACGGGTGTACGTAAACAATGACTCTGCATGCGCAATGCCTCAAGGGAGACCCCATAGGTTATATACTGTACGTACAGTGCATGCTTTACCTGGCCTGTAGCCAGCGATTTGACAGGTGTTTTTTTTTTTTTTTTTTTTTTTTTTTTTTTTTTTTTTTTTTTTGTGAAAAAAATGTGTCATTTTTATCTCCCTAGTTGACCCAACTTGAAAAATGGCATAAAAGCAGGGGTGAGACTTCCACTTAGAGAAGAAATATGGTGGAAATATATGGCGTGAGTTCCATAGGCCAATGATAATTCTGTCTCCCATAAAGTCGGAAATCATCCAATAGTCGGAGATATCTCATCGCCATAGATCAAATTTTTATTCTGGGCAAACTTTCAGTTCAAAAGAGCAGTTGAACCCCCGGGACACCCCCACCCACCCAGCCCTTCCCACCTACGAGCCTGTAGAACGTCCTATGCGTTTACTTTTAGCCTTGAACCGCCTGCTCCTACGCTCCGTTTACCCTGTGTTCGTACATGTATGCGTATGAACTTTCGAGCACTGTCCCAAGACGATGCACAATCTATCTGTTGTAAGACACCGGGATGTTCACAGAGCGGGAAATAAAGCGTTTCTTGTTGTTGCTGTTATCAAGATTGCAACCCGAAAAAATGACCTTAATTCTTTCAGAAGGGGCGAGCTTGTTAAGCTTAGCAGTTGTTGTACGGATATGTTTTGTGCAGTATTTGTATTGACTTATGCTCGTATCTCCCTTTTTTTCAGTCGTAAAATGACTTCATTACCCAAAACTGTAGGCTTGACGTCAATATGGAAATGGCTTGCCTCCAATAAAAAATGAAACTGAGGCTAACTTCCAGCAGAAGACGAAGTCTTGCTGTATTTGTAAATATTTATAAATCATAAACTGACTAGTATTATTACTTCAAATCCATGTCCACCCCCACAAGGACTCATAAAAGAACTCCTTATAATGTGCATCTTAAAGATTACCAGGTTTGAAACAAGAACAGTAAAATTTGAACTTATATATATTTGGTGTGAAATATTATCCTTTGATACATGTCCTTTACAGTACATGCTTAATTCCAATGTGCAAAATTTATCATGAATGCCCGAGATAAACACCATAAGGTCCACTGATTGATCATGAATTAATGATATGAAAAATTAGTAGTAGTATAGATTTTTTTTAATACATTTTTTTAATGGCTGACCCACTTGAAAGCTTGCTGCATTATCCCCTAAATAACTGAATACATTCCCCGCGGGAATTACGCGTAAGCTTTCAAGTAGCTCGGGCTTATTTGATCTGCAGATATATTAGTCTGCATATCATCTTGGGCGTATTATGAACAGCTTACTAACAGATCCGGGGATCAAATATGACCGACCCAGTTTAATGTTTGTTGCGTAATCCGCGCGTGGAATCTACATGTATGCAGTGTCTTATCGGGAATTAAGCGGCAAGCTATTTATTTGATACGCGGATCTTTTAGTCCTCTGTTCTGAATGCTAGCTTTTGGTTTGAATGCGGCCTAGACATTCGAGGAGGCTAGGCTTCGTAGACTAGTAGCTAAACTAAAAACCGAGGTGAGTGTTTGTCACGCACGGACTTAGTATCCATGATAACCAAGTTCCTAGCCAAGGATCCTGTCTTAAGTTTTTGTGAAAGGGGGTCAGGGTTACACATGTAGTTTTATAAGTTATTTTAATTGCTTTTAGTAAGAGCAAAATGGCAACCTGTTAAGTTATTCATTAAGGACACAGAATCAAGTTGGGAGTCTGTCAGCCATTTTTAAAACCAAGACAAAAATCGAAATCCTATGTTTAATATAAGACTAACAATCGAAAGAATTTCCTTGTTAGTAGTTTTGAAGACTATCAGGAGCGTAATGAGCTTATTAAGTGACAGCTGCGTACTGACAGTATCAACGGCACGCGTTACAGAAGGGAGATATTGGGATTATCAATTTAATAATTCTATCAAATTGAAAATGAAAGACCTTAATGTTAACAAAGTTGTTGAAAAATTCCGACCGGCTTTCGGTGTGCATCTGCGCCTGATTTAGGCTGTAATGTGAGAAAGCAGTTCCGGTTTAAGTTCCACGTGGCAGGCCTAGGCAACCAACTTCTTCCTGGACCAGGAAGTTATCTGTTCACTTTTTGTGCAACGTGTCAAGTTTTACGTGTAGCCATTGTCCATATTACCCTCTTCCAGGGCCAAAGATTGATTTTTCACTAGATATTAACAGATATGTCTCTGGTTAAATAGATGGATAATATCAGTACTGCCTCAGCAAAAAAGCCAACTGCGGCACTGTTAGAGGGTCCGGTGACCTTTATAGAAAAAAATGAATATATATTTATCCCAGAAGGAAGACAATTGCACTAGTGTCTGGCTAACAAAAGGTGCAACGACTGTATTTGTGCACGCTGTCCTATATTTGATCTTGGACGAATGGAAATTTGTGAGTGATATGAACTATAGTTTGTATGAGTGGAAACGTGGGTCGCGTTGAATTCCATATCCTAATTATTTCTGAAGATGAGGAAGAACATGTAATTTAATCTTTTCTAACTTAAAAAAAAAACAATATGTTGCGCATATATCTCATACGATGAGAAAATTGTTGTTAGTTATAGTTCCAATCTTGAACAACCCTAGGCTTTGACTATATGACTAAAAATAGTTCGTCAAAGATTTTTGCTCAATTACATTAAACATTGCACCATTTTTGCCTGAGTTTCCGAGAAAAGATTGTAACAGGGACTATATAAGGCATGCATGCGCTTGTACCCGCGGTATGCAAGCGTGCGAGTGTTGTACCAGATCTTAAATCGATAAAATAGCCTTCAAGTACTTCAAAATTCGAAAATTTTAGAACTTTAAATAAACTGGCCATGTATTTGAAGCGTCATTCAGAAAACCCTATGGTTTTTGCGAGAAGGCTGTTCATCTTTGGTTGCATATCTGCCGTCTGCTTTGAAAACGTATTATCGCAAGGACAGTTTGAAAGTCCAGGCTGGAAACAAGAAGCGCCGGAGACCAGACTTTACTCAGAGAGGAGACGCTCTAAGAGGGAGTTACTCGGATTTCAAGAGAACGGGGAACATCAGGTTAGTAAAGCGGCTTTTTCGTTATAGGTCCACTTCTTATTTTTTTAAGATAACGTTAAAGTTCGCTTCATTTTAAGGGAGGCACCCCCTTTAAAGATGAATTCTTATTATCAGCTGATAACTTAATGAAGATCACATAAAAGTGCTGTTCTTTTTCCTTTGTTTTTTTTTTCTTTCTTTCTCTTTTCATGAAGATAAAATATTACAAAAGTTGGAAATCGTTCAAAGAATCAGTTACAGCGACGTTCATAAAAACTAAATATTTCTCTCCCTACTACTTATGATGCCCGAAGTATTGGAACGAGTTTTTAGTTTACAGATTAATACTTCAAAATAAAAAAAGGCAGTTTTTCAATTTTTTTCTTGATTCCTTATTTTTCACCTGATAAAGATGCCGAAATCTCGTTTCCGACTCGTTTCTTCGGCTACTCACAAAAATGTACCATGTGCGTGAACTTATGCTTAGAATGAGCCTATCAACGATCAATTCTGGGCGAATAGCGTGGCGCTTAATTATAAGACCAGGAAACGTGGTCTGTACTTGTGTTCCATATCATTTACATTTGACGATTTTTTTCTGGCCGCCTCAACAATTCCTATAAAAATAACATACCACACACAAAGCCAGTATACCAAAAGGATTTTTTTCTTTGTACAGGCTTCAGGAGAGTATTTTTATTTTCATGGTAAAAACCAAATAAACTATGAAAGGATTACTTGCGCTTTCACTTTGTGTTAGTATGCCGTATTTTTTTATGAAGGAAGTAATTCCATTAAATTAAATGATACTACGTGCTTAAAAGCAAAAAGGGCAGGAAGTAATAAAAGAATTAAGAGAGGAACATCTTTTGGTGATGAAAAGTTCCAATCGGCTCAATACAAGTGTACATTCATGTATAGGTAAGGGGGGAACTTAAAGCTGTCTGAAATAAATCAGAAATTAAATGGCGTATTGCTGTTGACGCATTAGCATGGAAGGTTTTGATATTTGTTGTTGACTGTAGGCATGGACGCATTACTAAGACGGGGAGAACAAGTGCGTGGGTTAGCTTGTAATAGCGAGGTTGCGCATTCTTTCTAGCTCACGTGTGGGCGCGTTTGTTTTGAATGGATTATGTGAATATGAGTGCGTATGGATGCACGTGTGTGTGTGTGTGTGTGTGTGTGTGTGTGTGTGTGTGTGTGTGAGAGAGAGAGAGATAGAGGTGTGTGCGTATGTGTGTTTGTAAATCTACACACCATTGTCTGCCTTTGCGAGAGTCCAGTGCGATCATACGCATGTGAAGATTAGTCAAATTAATGTGTGCGTTCTGGCGCATGCTTACCACACAAAAAAGCCAAACTTATTCTCTTTAATGTACGGGTTTCAAAATAGCATTTTTGTTTAAACTTTTACATGGTATGAGGTGTTTGTGAAAAAGGAAGTAATTCTTTTCTAAATAAAGTAACACCACGTGCTTAAAGGCCCAAAACAAAATCGTTAGAGAGACTTAACAAAAAGAATTAAAGAAAAAAGGAAGATTTTTAGCAATGAATAAATCTGTAAGTTAAATACATGTAAAGGGGCAAATTTAAGCTGTCTTATTAAATGAAATCAGAAATTAATTCGCGTATTGCTGTTGACGCATTAGTATGAAATATTTTCATAAAGAAAACTTGGGTTGTCGATTGGAATGGACGCGCGCATTACTAAAACGCAGAAAACAAGTGCGTGTGTTTGCATGCGTTCGCGAATGTGCGCGATTGTTTTGAATGGATTGCGTGAATATATGTGCGTATGGATGCATGTGTGTGTGTGTGTGTGTGCGTGTGTGTGTCTGTGTGCGTGTGTGTCAACACGCCATTGTCTGCGCAAGCAAGAGTATAGTGCATATGCATGTGTAGATCAATAAAGTGAATGTATGCGGGTGCATGCTCACTCATGCGCGTGCTTGCAGGGTCTATCTTACCACCAAGCATAGCGTGCAATACTGGGCGCGTTTTTGTGTGCAGATGTTTACACCCCAAACTCGCTTAATTACCTTTTAACCAAGCAATACTATATGTCCCAAGTGTACAATCATCATGGTTATCTTGTGTATAAGCAAAGAACATTTTGATACCCTGGGATAATTGATAGTGTCAAGGCTCAGACTCCTGACCCCCCACCCCACACTTCCTTTTGGACGAGTTCCAATTCCAAGAATGCTTTTCAGATCTGGGTCGAGCAGTCGAGGGTGTCGCTATTGTCCTCACTGAATGCATACTGTAACTGCACGGGCATTTGTGCTACACGGGCCCCAGGCGTGTTCAGATCTATACCCTAAATATAGGCCTAGTACAGATTAATACAAGAGATATCCGTGTCAAAGTTCTCCGATAGATTAAAATGACAAAGTTCCCGGGGCTGCTGGTAGCATTACCCCGGCAAGGTAGCAAGCAAAGAGGTAAACATAGCGGCACGTGGGTGGCCCCCTAGCGGCGTAATCGAAAACAAAATACAAAATGGAAAGTCGATTGTAAAGAACATGACCGCGAGCAGAAATACTAAGCGAAAGGCACACTTTCGAAAGACGCTCGCAGTGTTGTCAGTAGTCACGTGTCTGCTCAGTCTGGGCTGCGTCGTCTGCTGTGCGGTTGTCATGGTAGCCGCGCGGTCGTTTGCTATACAAGGGTTCCATTTGGAGGGATTTCCCCGTCAACTTAGCGTAAAAGACGTAGAGTCTCGTGTTATACCTCACCAGCGCCTGAAAGAGACAGGCGGTTCAGGGGGAAAGGATGGTAGTGGCGTTGTGGAGAAACTTTTGTCCCGACGTAAGCGTAAAGCCGTGAGTAGGAAGGTACGACATAGATAGTCCCCATGGGACATTACACACCAACTCTCTCTCTCTCTCTCTCTCTCTCTCTCTCTTTCTCATATGTATTTATTTTACAAAAAAATTGTTTGAGAGATCCCTGTTTCTGTTGTTCTAGAGACCTGCCATCCATCTTGCAGCGGAGTGCAGAGATAGGAACTGCAATAGTATTGCACACAGAGAATTAACAGAAAAAGTTCCTGGCACAGGTAAATCGGAATGCGCACGTAGTGCCTTTGGCTTATCATTCAATGGTAGTCAATAGAAATAATATGTTACACTGAATTATTATAGGATGCTGAAATCCTTAGGTCTTTTAAACTTTTTAAAACACTATAAAGGTATGTTCTACTAAACATTGGTAACTTTGGCTTACGCCTTGCATACTTCAGAAAATTAAAGATAACGATTTTAGACCGTGTAAACAAATACTACATGTAGAATATTCAATACCCACTCTAAGCTCTTCCCTCCTTTTACAAATGCATATTCACTTTAAAGGTAACGTATCCTAGATTTTCCCGCCAAATCGAGAAAAAAAAATCATATTTAAGTTTCTCCTCATCATCAATCATTGCTCGACCTGCCTCTGGTGGGGTTTGCAGAGATTAATTTGACACAAGTACTTGCTTCATATACATTTTTAATCCTTACAAACACGTTTATCGACAATTCATTTTTTCCACGTTAGAATTTTGGTTCATAAAAAATCAAATTATGACTAATGCATATTTCACATATACAAACAATTTTACTTGTATTCCAGTTGAAAATTTCGTCCGATGGACCCCAGTCACCGAGAAAAACACGAAGAGGGGCTTGGCGTACAGTCCTGCATGTAACTGCCTGACTGTGAGAAAGAGTGGGGTGTACTACGTGTACGCGCAGGTGCATTTTACCCTCAGTGAGAAAACCTCCTACCTTGGGTGTATATTCAAAGGGAAGTCCAGCTTGACAGATGTCACCAGGTAAACAAACGTAGTTGTATTATTAAAGTTATTGTGTAAATAGAAAAACTGTCATAACATAAAGCTGGTCTATGCGTACGATGCCCCGGGAAAAACTTTTGTTTGTATCCAGTTTCTGTAGTAAAAAGCGTCTAATTTTTCTTAATTTCATTTTTTTCATCGGGTGGGATAAATTATGCTTTTGCGGGTTACTTGCCGTTGGAACGTTCTGCTGGTAATTGAAATTAAATACGATCTAAGAACACAACGTCTGGTACTAACTTATGAGGCGTGTGAGATCAAAATTTCTTTGGGGACAAGAGATGACCACCCCTCATCAGCCCACGTTTACCATTCAATTATTCTCACTCTCTCTTTTTTTTTACCTTCCATACAAGCGCCTAAGTCCTGTATACACTTTTAATTGTATATAGCAATGTTTGTTGTAAGCAAGTGTCGAGTTACATGTAACCATTCGGCAAAAACAGCTACTCTAAAAGAGATGATTCTTTTAACCCCCCCCCCCCCCCCCACTTCTCCCTCCGCCGCCGGCTGCTACGCCTTTATTAATCCAATAATTAAGTATCCACTTACCGTCCTCTTACATGATGTCACTTTTATGTCCGCTGTCTTCTTCCAGGGACGAGCCCCTGACCTGCACTCAGGCCTACCCCTTGAGGGGCCACACCCTGGGGGACCGTGTCAAACAATTCAGTGGCGTGTTCCAGCTCAGCATGGGAGACGCGCTGTACGTTGCTGTCGTGAGGGCGCGCCACGGGGACAAGTTACCGGCGCTGGACGTCGTTGTCAACAGGCGTAAAACATACTTTGGAGGGTTTAAGGTGTAGATAAGCGGGAGAAAATGTGAACTATGTAAATATCATTCCGTATGCATCCTGTTGAAGTGTAGATAAGAGGCAGAATTAGAGAAATTAATCCTTTTGTATGTGAACTCTGTAACTATATCATTCGGTATGTCATTTTATGTGTGAGATAGTTCACTGGCGGATATAAATCTTTTCCTGATTGGGGGGGGGAGGGGGGCAAAAAGAAAAAGTATAAAACAGTTGAAAGGAACAATAATAATAATAATAATAATAATAATAATAATAATAATAATTTTATTAATGTCTCATGTTTAAGAATAAAAACCACCATACTAACGGTTATGAGAGATTAAAACCTGTGAAAGTACAATTAAAATTCAGGAAAGATTTATAAATTAAATTACTGAGCATTTAAAGACATAAAAATAATATTATATGTAAAACCTTTTCAATTCCTCTGTATTAAACTGATTTTTCCCACATCTTTGCGGGTACTTATTTTGCTGTCTTAAGTTGTAACTGGTCATTTTGCATGATAAATATAAACTTCTCAGTGTCATTAAATGCAATAAAATGTTCTTCAAAAAGAATCACTAAGTTAAAAAGGTCTACTCTAACGTCTTTATAGAGTTGACAGTTAATCAAAAAATGTTTCTCGCTTTCTACTTCTTTTGAAGTACAATGTATGCATAAACGCCCATTCAGCGGTGTATTACAATAACGCCCGATTTCCACTCTGAGGGGTGCGCTACCACAAACGAGTGAAACCAAAGTTCGTCAGTGTGCTCTGCTCGCTGAGTTTTAGCATGTACATAAGTAAGATTCTGTCACAAGTGCACGTTTAAACATCCCATAAGTTCGTAGTTTATTACCATTATAATGGTTTTTATCATCCCTGAACTTAGTTTTCCGTACATTTTCATCAGCGGATTTTAAAGCTATTCTAGCCAAGGAAGTGTCGAAAAGGCCTTCCTCCCTATGTACGTCCACCTGAAACTGTAGGGCCAAACTCGGCTTCCCCAACGCGACATTTTTAAGTGGCCATTTGTGAATTGCTTTAATAGGTCTGGTATCGTTGAAGAGAAATATTGTATTAAGCATGACACAGGGATGGAAACTTGGTTTCGTCGTGTTTAGCTCCACCTATTTTAAGAGGGGGGAGAAGTACATGTGGTCGACTGCTCCCCCCCCCCCCCCCCCCCCCCAGGACCCGCCATTGTGGATAAATTCGAGGCGACGCCCTATCCCGTTTAAAAGGAAGCAATTTAAAGAGGCTGTGATACTGTCATAATGGTACCTACCTCATATTTTGCAACGTGCAGCGAGTGGTGACATATTTGAAAGAATAGTCAACTGCAAAGCGGTTTATGTTAGTTGGTAACTTTTTAACAATTTTTGATGGGCAATGCATTAGTAATAAGGGAGCGGGAACTGCTGTATTGTCAGGCTTGGTGCAGGCATCGACGATTATGGTCCTCCAGTTAACTCTGTTTTCAGTCGACTGGATGAGCTCGTTATTGTACAGTTGTTCATTTGTTGCGAAGTCATTAAGGCTATCAATGTCTTATGTTCTTTGTCTTTCTCTACTTCTTCTTCATTTAATTTCCCACAGAGTACATGTACCGGGTTTTCTATTCGTCTTTTATAATTGTAATTAGAGAATTAAAAAAAAAAGAGAATTCAAAAAACATCTCTTCGAACATTGTGTTTACATATATCATTACACGCTTTCTCATTAGTATTTTTGAAAACTTGTACACTTACAAGCAAATGAAAGTAGTAAAAATCGAAAAAAATGCGAAACTCACAATTATTTCTGTGAAGGAAACAAAAAGTGAAAATGATAATTGCTTCTGTTTGAAAAACATTTTGCCTTGGGAAAATCGTTATCAAATCAATTATAGGATTTTATTTGTGTTTTAAAGTTAATGGCTTACGCTTGCAGATAATAATTAAAGAGGCGTCAAATAAATAAAAGGATAGGGAGTTATTGAGTGTAAGTTAAAATTTTTAGGGGTCAACAAGTGTAGAATTCGTTTTCGTGGTGAAAAAAGATGGAACATGTCAAAGTCAAATATAGGTTGATTTCATTGGTTAATTTCACAGTAGTTTCTGCCATGTGTTAAACATTCGCTAAGTAAGGATGGGTGTGTACCAAGCATGATGAATTCAAATAATATTTTTATTATTTTGGATTAAAAACAATTCTCTTAAGGATTACCTATAATAAGGAAATATTAACTGGAAGAACACAACATGAGAATGGAAATTTTCTGATAATCACGCAAAGGACAACGGAACGAATACTAGTGTGATCAGAACTGAGAAATAAAGTATAAATACTTGTGAAAGAGTTGGTGAATGAACGGTTGAAAGCTCCAACTTGGCCCTCGTTGTCACTATAATATTTCCATTTATCAAATAAACAAAGATATATATCGAAAAATAATCATTCACAGTTGTGTGGGGGTTTTACAAGAACAAGCAACAAGCAATATCAATTCCCAAGGATCTGTTCTGTGCATCATGATGTAGTTCAAGAGTTTAGAGTTTAGTGCTCACAGCGGAGAGCTCGAGTGCACGCGTTCTCAATACTATAAAATGGTCGCAATAGGGCAGCGAGTGCAAGTATTCACTCGGTCCGGGAAATTTGGGGGGAGGGGGGGAGGGACCGAAGTTGAAATATGAATCAGCTGTTTCGTACTATTTTATATTAATGTATAAAAAAAGTAAAAGATTAAATGCTCAACCTCTGGGGCGACCTTTGTGAATACATAGTACTTTCGTATACTGATTATCTATTTTTACAAATAATTTTGTCAGATACTTCTATTCTTACCAGTAAATACAAAAAAAATTCCAGATTGTAGACGTGTCCGTTTCAGAAGTGGTTGTTTAGGTTACAGCAATTAAAGTTAGACTGGAATGCGAGTTATTTATATAAATCTATAAATTGACTAGTCGCTTCCTGCACTTGTTAAACAAGTATCTCTTTAAAGAAAAGAAGGCAAATTCTTGGCGCGAATTGTTGTGCAAGTACAGTCTCAACAGATTTTAAACGCGTTCCTGACCAGCCCCTGACCCCCACTCTCAGCGCTTTTCCTTTTATTAGCTGAATAAAAAAAATGCATTTTCTATCCTTCTCTCCTTTTACATTGGAGCACTAAATAACTTTGTTTATAAATACACACATTTTTGATGCATAAGTTGGCAATGCTTTGGATTTATTTGTAGTTTTTTTTTTTTTTGCATCATAGGACAACCACAACAACAACAACAACAATAAGAATAAGAATAATAAAAATAACAATTATAATAATAGTAAAGATGATGATGTACAACACAATTGTTACAAAACATTCAACAAAAATTAAAAATAGAATTTGGCTGTCACCTTTTACGAGTGGTTTTACACAAATCTATGCAGTGGTGACATCTTTATGGACACGAACCCTTTTCGTATTATCTTTAAATGTTTTAGATATGACGTTTTTAAACTTGAAAGTCAGATACTGCTAGTCAATCCCAATGAGCGCTTTATTTAATGTAAAAAGTGCTTCTTTTCCATGAAAAAAGTGTGATAAATTTTTTCACTCATACTCACCGTTCTCGTTAAACTCTTTAAAGGAAAATTATTGACCTGCAATATTGTGCATGCATCAAAGAGATTTAAATCGTGTTGGGAACTCTTTTCTTGGATGCCTAATCACAGCGCCCTCTTTTCCTTTGATTAAAGTCATTTGATTAAACCCCCTTTAATAAACTCCTTTTTTGTTTCATACAGTCGAAACGAAATTATTTTCTTTTTTATCTATAATCAGCACCTATGCGTGAATTTGGATTGATTTTCTCATGTCTGAAAAATTTCATTATATAGTATGTTGGGATCAGATGAAATGCAATTATTCACAACACTCGCTTGTTTTGATTCGAAAATAATCGCTTCTTTACCACTGAAAGGTGCGACAATATTGTTATTAATTTTCCCACTGCAAACACAAAGCAGTTGCAGTTTTGACTGGGGGTATCGTTATGTTTACATTGTACATCTTGCCACAATTTCCAAGTTCCTCCTTTGAGTCTTTATCAGAAGAGAACAAAATCCGGCCCAATATTTACACGGTGCACAAAAGCAAAACAATGTGGCTCAAAACACTTGGTAGTCCAGGCACGCGACAGGACTAACTGCGCATGCGTAGGGCGGATTCAATGAACTATAAATGTCACTTTTTTCCTTTTTGAGCCGTCATTTAAAACGCTCTCTGCGTGTAGACCTTGATAATGCAACTGATTTTTTTTACCAGGATGCGGTTTCAAATTAAACCGAAAGTTACAATTTCTTATTTGAAATAAAAATGAATATTAGCATGCTTATTAAATAATAAGTAAAGCAAAACGGAACTATGCGTTACTTACAAATTACTAGTAATTGTTCGTTTTTTTTTCTTTCGTTTTTTAACTGGCAGGTCCTCAGGCAGTTTTAAAAGTGCGTTGAGATTAAAATAATTTCCTATATTTTATCATATTTAAGCATGGCACAAGAGTTCATCAGATATTTAAATATCCCAACCGTGAATTAGGCTCACCTTCTCCTTTCATTCTGATGTAAACGATTTTATTTGAAGTACGTACATGGAGCAGGGGTGTGAAACCCCATGCATTAATTTATACAAGGGTCGATGTTGATCACATCACTTCAGTCGAGGTGTCGTTGACGTTGATGCAAAACAGCGTTTCAAGGACATTCCTCCAGCCCTAACGTGCATATATATATCATTATTTAACGCCTTACCAATGCTAGTTTTCAAGCCGTTCTGAAATGCGACAAGTGCAAGTTTTTTTAGATATTTGTTAAAATTCCCCAGTTGCGTGGATACAACGTCCCATGGTTTTAACGCGTTCTGCGGCGTACTCCGTCTTGGTTCTATTAATAGCAGTAGTTTCGTCCCGAGGATCGGAGACACGCCGGTGTAACTGCAACTTTCGCACCTTTCGTTCCTCGTTCCCAGCACAATAATGAAACCGTGTAACGCTATTAATAGCAGGGGGAGTTTGCCGGTGAACCAGGAAGCCAGAGGAGAG